GAAATGAGTTTTTCTTTTGGGTGCACAATGTCTATGACATTGCATTTACTAAACAGGAGTTTCTCTCTCACCCTCCTGAAAACAAAGTTGTATGCACAAATTCCAACCAGAATTTCATCTACTAAACACTAACTGAGCAGTTACTTTGCTCAGAGTCACTGAGCAGTTACTCTCATATGCTAGGTATGAGAGCTGCAAAGGTGGACAGGGCCCACCCTGGCCTTCCCGCCCTGGCCTGCTTGTCGGGGAAGAGTCCCACAAAGAGACAATCAGCCATAACAATGGCCTGAGGTAAGGATGACAATGTGGACGTGTACACTGCTCTAGGGGATCACGGTGGGAAACCTGCCAGGTTAGAAGCCTGGTGTCCTTCTGGCCACCTCTGTCTCCCTCACTCCTTGCATCTACTCACCCCCTGCACCCCTGGATCAAGCTTCCTTAAACTCGCAAATCTGTGCTGTCCCCTCAGCTCCACAGACACCGCTGACTTTAGGTCTCAAGTGAGCTCTCTGATCCCAGCCGTCCTCCACCAAAGCCAAAAAGGGATTCAGAAAGGGCAAAAATGACCATGTCATTCCCCTATTTAAAACCGTCAGTGGGCCAGGTGTGGTGTCTCATGCCTGTAATCCCAGCACTTTGGGAGGCTCAGGCAGGCGGATTGCCTGAGGTCGGGAGTTCAAGACCAGCCTGGGCAGCACAGTGAGACTCCATCTTGATAAAAACAAAAGAACTTATTTTATTTTATTATTATTATTATTTTGAGACAGAATTTCACTCTGTTGCCCAGGCTGGAGTGCAGCGGCCCAATCTCAGCTCACTGCAACATCCATCCCCACCAGGTTCAAGTGATTCTCATGTCTCAGCCTCCCAGTAGCCGAGATTACAGGTAATGCCAGCTAATTTTGTATTTTTAGTAGACATGTTGGCCAGGCTGGCTGACCTCAAGTGATCTGCCTACCTCAGCCTCCCAAAGAGCTGGGATTATAGGCATGAGCCACCACACCCAGCTGAAATTTTAAATAATTATAAGAAAAAACTCCAGACTTTCAGTGGCTCCCTGTTGGCCCTGAGATAACATCCAAACTCATCAGCATGGCTTCACAGCCCGTTCTGATCTAACCCACATTAACATGAGAATTATTTCTTTTACTTGTTCCTGTGACTCCAATTTAACTGAACACTTGCTATGTGCTGGCCCAGTGGTTCCTAACCTTTTTGGCACCAGGGACCAGTTTCATAGAAGACATTTTTTCCACTGACGGGGCAGGATGGTTTCAGTGTGAAACTGTTCCACCTGAGATCATCAGGCATTAGATTCCCATAAGGAATGTGCAACCTGGATCCCTCACAGCACAGTTCACAGTAGGGTTCAAGCTCCTAGGAGAATCTAATGCCACTGCTGATCTGACAGGAGGCGGAGCTCAGGTGGTAATGCCAGCTCACCCGCAGCTCACCTCCTGCTGTGCGGCCAGTTTCTAACAGGCCACTACCAGGTTCTGGTCCTCGGCCTGGGGGTTGGGGACCCCTGTGCCAGGCCTTCTGCTGGGTACCAGGATGCAGTAGTGAACACACACACTGTCCCCCCTCCCGGCGCTTGAGGTCTAGCAGGGGACACAGACACCAAACAAATAGTGACATAGATCATTACAATTGTGTCAGTGCAGGAAAAGGAACATTTCCCTGGCAATTCCCTGCTTCAGCCACAATAAACTACTCACAGTCCCTGCCTCCTGGCCCAGCTCAGGCCGGCCTCTCTCCTTCAGTTGGCCAAATCTCTCCAGCCCTCCTGGTCTCAGCTCAAGGTTCTCCTTTCTAAGGGAGTCTTCCCTGAAACTCCTAGGTGGTTCCATGGGATTCTGCTCCCACCCTGGGTCCTGGGTCCTCCTGAGCCCAGCACAGAGCTGAGCACAGTAAATGCTCAGTAAATGTTTGCCACGCAAATGATGAACAGGTCCTCTTAATTCATGTGTGAGTGTTTGCTTTTAAAGAAAATGATAGAGTTGTTTACTCTGATTTTATATTCACAAAAGGTTGGTGCTGGGTGCTAATGAAGGTAGAGAGAGCTATTGTTTAAAATAGGATGCAGGCCGGGTGTGGTGGCTCAAGCCTGTAATCCCAGCACTTTGGGAGGCTGAGGCGGGTGGATCACGAGGTCAAGAGATCGAGACCATCCTGGTCAACATGGTGAAACCCCCGTCTCTACTAAAAATACAAAAAATTAGCTGGGCATGGTGGCGTGTGCCTGTAATCCCAGCTACTCGGGAGTCTGAGGTGGGAGAATTGCTTGAACCCAGGAGGAGGAGGTTGCGGTGAGCTGAGATCGTGCCATTGCACTCCAGCCTGGGTAACTGGAGTGAAACTCGTCTCAAAAAATAAATAAATAAAAATAAAAATAAAATAGAACGCTTGTGCACCCGAGGACTTCAGGGACTATCTCTCAGATGGGGGGATTGAGGGGTCTCCAGGATGTCTCAGGCCAGCAGGAGGTGGGTGGGGGAGAAGAGGAGGTGAGCCTGCTGCCCAGTCTCACGTAGCCAGTGCTATGACCACCAGCTCTTCTCCGGGCTCTTGGCCCAGAAGCCTGGCTGACCTCCCACTGCTGCCCTCTACCCTTTGGCAGAAGCCTGGGGTCTGCCCCTGGACTTAGCTCCTGTGGGCTATCCAGTGCTGGGGAAGAGATGAGCAGCTGGGTTCAGGATTAGAGGGGCCTAGGGCCCTAGCACCTTTCCTGGGGCCATCCCCGGGAGCTGCTCCGCTCCTCTCTGCTCCCTGACCACCTCAGTACCTGCTGGGGCTTGAGGTTGTGCCAGGCCTAGGTGCAGCAAAGGAAGGTGAGCCCTGCCATCCACCCACTCTGAAAAGGCTGCTGCTCCCTCCAGAAGAGACTTTGTCCTGTCTCGGAGCCCCACCCTCGGCCCCTTATCTACAAAATCCACACGGCTCCCTGAACTTCCTTCTTCCTTGGAATTGCAGAGTTGAAAGATCACCTGGCCCACTCCATTCAGTTTATAGAAGATGACACTGAGGTCTGGAGTGGGGCATTAAGTACCCAAGATGTCACAGCAGATAATGGCAAGAGTCAGGATTTCAAACAAACAGAAGAGGCAAGTCCCCTGCCTGTCAGCAGCCTTCTGCTATACCTGCTGCCCTGCCTGTTCCTCATGGGCTGTCCCACATTTTGCCTAGTTTGAGCCTGAAAGTTACACCTCCAATGAATGAAACTCACGGGATTATTGCCATCCCATCTTCCTCCTCACACCCACTCTCGGCCATCTGCCCTTCTCACCCACAGGTGGAGGCAAAGCTTGGTCAACCTGATAGGCCTCTTCCAGGCAGGGACAGGAGAAGGGACTGCACAGCAGCTCTGAGTCAGGACTCTGAGTCTCCGTAAGGCGTGGCCGCCAGGATGGCCTTAGAGAAGGAATCCAGCCCAGGTGCACTATGTTTACCTTCTCAACTCACAAACATGACCAGACCTTCCCTGGCTGGCTGGCTGAAGTCCCAGCCTCTTAGTCCAGCCCTGAAGCCTCTCCCATTCCGGCCAGTCCCATCCCCACACGGCTCTCCTGCCATCCCACCCCATCCTCAGATTACAGCTCTTCAGCCTTTCTTGCCTTGCAATGCTGTTCCCTCAGCTGCAATGCCCTTCCCTGCCTCTCCACCCCGAAAACTCCTTCCCCTTGTATCCTCTGTGCTAACACTTCCCTCCTCCCTTCCCTTCCCCTCTTCTTCCTTCGTGCCTACGTGGCACTTTTGAGACAATGTTACAAGCATAATAAAGAAAATAAGGTCTTCATGAATCCGTGTCCTCCAGCAGACTCTCCTCAGTGACAGCAATTGTGTGTTTATCTTTAAATTCTCAGAGCCCAGCATATAGTAAACACTCAATAAAGGAAAACACTGCTAAACAAATCAATATATGGACTGTGCATTTTTTCCAGAGCCAAACTGGGAAGCAAGTTCTAATATCACAAAAGGATTACCTTCCCATTCATTTATTCATCAAATAGTTATTGAATACTGGTACGTGCAGAGCACAGGGTCGTCAGAGTACAGGGAGCATGCAGCTGGGGTGGACTCATGCTTTACATTATTTTTTTTGAGGTGGAGTCACACTCCGTCACCCAGGCTGGAGTGCAATGGTATGATCTCAGCTCACTGCAACCTCCACCTCCTGGGTTCAAGTGATTCTTTTGCTTCAGCCTTCTGAGTAGCTGGGATTACACGTGCCTGCCATTATGCCTGGCTAATTTTTATATCTTTAGTAGAGATGGGGGTTTCACCATGTTGGTCAGGCTGGTCTCGAACTCCCGACCTCAGGTGACCACCTGCCTCTGCATCCCAAAGTGCTGGGATTACAGGTGTGAGCCTCCCTGCTCCCTGCCTAGGCTCTACTTTTAAGGAGTTTGCATTGTGAAAATACAGACAAGGCAGAAAAGTATTTGTTATGAGAACTGGCTAGCATTTACTGACCTCCACTGTTTAAGCAGATTATTGCATTTAACTGAGCATTAACCCTATAATATAGGCACTTTCATTATTAGCCTCATTTTACAGATAAGAAGACTGAGGCTTGCAGAAGTGGAGAGACATGGACATGGCATAGCCAGGAAGTCATGGAGGCAGGATTTGAACCCAGGCACGTCCCAGACCCACCAAAATTAATGAAGATGGGGAAGCAATTAACTTTGCTTTAGGAAACTGGAAAGCCAAGGAAGGCTTCACCAAAGAGGGGTCGGCTGAGATGTGCCCTGTAGGACAAGCAGGATTTTCACACATGGGGAAAGTAGCACACCCCAAACTATAGAGAGATCTGGGGTAAGAATTTGAGGTTTAAGTTAGTGGCCTTGAATCTTGTCTGCAAACTGTAAACACCTGGAGGCTTTAGAAACCATGGATGCCCCCAGGTCTGCCCCGGAGATTCCAAAGTGATTGGTCCCAGAGGTTCTAAATGGGGACGTGGGAGGCGCCTGGTGTAAAGTGTATAACGCGACACCTACCTGCAGCCCAGACACTCCCTGGATGCTCCGGGTCCTGTTTATGGCAATTTCCTGCCCCCTTGGGAGGGGCCCCAGACAACATGGACAGGGCTGGTGCTTCCTCCTCACATTCGCTCCTTGTCTGACCATTTGTAACCTTCCTGTGGCCTGGAGTTGCAGAAGACTCCTTGCTGGGGAAATTCCATGGTTTCCTTGCAAGGGGACGTGTGTTCTGTAGAAGGAAGGCAGCCAGTTTGCAGTATGCAGAAGCCGAGACCTGCAGGTCAGAGTGAAGACAGCTGATTTGAGGACTCTGGGCAGGCGGCTTGTGTGCTATAGACATGGACAGGAGGAGCTGGAACCCCCTCCTCCCCGTCCCAGCAGGCAGGCTCCGCAGGGCAGGGGCAGCTGTCAGGAGAGGGCACGTGGCTTCACCATCACACTGCTTGATGCCCTCAGAACAGTGAAATCCGCCAGAGTGAGGGAAGCCAGGCTGAGTGGCTGCAGTGGGCAGGGGCTGGATTTCCCCTACTCAGGCCCAGGCAGTGACTCAGTGACAAGTGTTGAAAGCAGACAGTGACCTCAGCTCCCTCGCCCACTGGGGAGTGTCACCGTGCCCCACATCCCCCTCAGGAGCACAGACAGCTCAGGGCCCAGTGAGATGGAAGTAGACAACATGGTATCATGTGGGGCACACAGGACTCTTGCCCTCACCAGCTGGATGCCCAGAGCTTCCTGTTCCTCATAGAAGTGATGTGAGCATCCCAGGAGGTGACGTCCGTGGTCAGGAAGGCACGTAAACAACCACAGCCATCGGTGCCTGCTGCAATCCATGTATTTATATATTACTGACTTCACTTCATATAGTGTTCCCTTGTATCGGATATTAACTCGTTTCCTTTAAATTTTTGTTATTATAAATACCACTGCATTTTCTTTTGAAATACTCTTCAAACTGGCCAGGTGCAGTGGCTCATGCCTGTAATCCCAGCACTTTGGGAGGCTGAGGCGGGAGGATCACTTGAGGTCAGGAGTTCAAGACCAGTCTGGCTAACATAATTTAACCCCATCTCTACCAAAAATACAAAAATTAGCCAGGTGTGGTGGCATGCACCTGTAAACCCCCCTACTCAGGAGGCTGAGGCAGGAGAGTTGCTTGAGCCCAGGAGGTGGAGGTTGCAGTGAGCCAAGATCACACCACTGCATTCCAGCCTAGTGACAGAGCAAGACTCAGTCTCACAAAAAAAAGAAAGAGAGAGAGAGAGAGAAAGAGAGAGAAATTCCTCCCCCAAGTGAAACCCTAGGGTGCAGTATCTAAAGCTCTGGCTACATATTGCCAGGTTGTCCTCAAAAAAAAGTTGAACTAAGTTGCAGTGCTCCTAGCAATATACAATTTTTACCCATTTCCCTATAGCTTTGTCAATGGTAAGTTTCATATTTTTATTTATTTTTGATAACTGAATTGGTGTGTAGTGTTGCCTCCAAATAGTTTGAATGGGCATTTATTTAATTTCTATCATTGCAGAGAGGATCCACCTGCCTACTAGAAAACTCTGGGCTGGGTGCAGTGGATCACACCTGTAATGCCAGCACTTTGGGAGGCAGAGATAGGCAGATTACTTGAGGCCAGGAGTTCGAGACCAGCTTGGGCAACATAGTGAGACCTCATCTTTACTATAAACTTTAAAAAATTATTGGGCATGGCGGCATGCACCTGTAGTCCCAGCTACCGAGGAGGCTGAGGCAGGAGGATCACCTTAGCCCAGGAGTTCAAAACTTCAGTGAACTAGGATCTCACCACTGCACTTGAGCCTGGGAGACAGAGCGAGATCCTATCTCAAAAAAGTGAAAGAAAGAAAAGAAGGAAGAGAGGGAGGGAGGGAGGGAAGGAGAAAAGAAGGAAGGAAGTAAAGGGAGGGAGGGAGGGAGGAGAAGGAAGGAAAGGAGGGAGCTCTCTTTGGAACGTGGTCCCTACTGGATGCTGGGTGGATCAATGTGCAAACCTTCACTCAGGGATGCCTCCCGGAAGCCCAGGCAGGCCTCTTGCCTATGCCTCCGCAGTCCTATGACCCTTTCCTTCAGTCAGCTTCTCATAGCTGTCACTTTATGTGCATTTGGGAAACTGATTAGTTTATTTCTTCCCCCACAAGACTGTAACCCCACGAGGAGCTATTGTTTTGCTCACCATTGGACCACTTATCACCTGGTGTATGCCTGGCAGACAGTAGGTGCTCATTTAAATATTTGTCAAAGTGTTAGGGCCCTTTTAGACTTTGTCTAGCAGGCTTTCTGGTTTTTGTTGGAAAGCCCTCCCTCAAGAAAAGTAATTTTTAAAGTGAAACAAAATATATATAAATATTTGTTAAATAAATGAATACTTAAAAATGAGTAAGTATGCCAGAGCTAAACTGTGGAATTTATCTTTGCAAAACGATTTGTCAGTGGGCTTAATGAGAAACATTTAAGGAGCACCTACCACTGCAGCATAGGGTAGAGGGGCTGTTATGGAAAAGTGAGAACGTGGGGCCGGGTGCGGTGGCTCAAGCCTGTAATTCCAGCACTTTGGGAGGCCGAGGTGGGTGGATCACGAGGTCAAGAGATCGAGACCATCCTGGTCAATTTGGTGAAACCCCATCTCTACCAAAAATGCAAAAAATTAGCTGGGCATGGTGGCGCGTGCCTGTAATCCCAGCTACTCAGGAGGCTGAGGCAGGAGAATTGCCTGAACCCAGGAGGCGGAGGTTGCAGTGAGCCGAGATCGCGCCATTGCACTCCAGCCTGGTTAACAAGAGCGAAACTCCATCTCAAAAAAAAAGAAAAGTGAGAACGCAAGGCATATACCCTGTAGCATGGGGTAGAGGGGCAGTTATACAACAGTGAGAACGCAAGGCATGTACCCTGTAGCATGGGGTAGAGGGGCAGTTATACAACAGTGAGAATGCAAGGTCTCTGCCCTTAAAGAAACACATAGGCAGGTGGTGAGACCCACGCCTCTGTGGTGGCTGCTGTGGTGTCTCACCCCATTCGCCCTGTAAAGGAAGCTTCAGGGCAAGTGAAGCTGTTTTCCAATGGTCATGGCAGGATGCAACCATCTGTGACATCCTAGCTCCCAAGATGAGAGAACAAGTGTGACTTCCAACCAGAGAAGCAGGTGGTTTGGGCACTGGGAGGGATCTCAGAGATGCTCTAACACTTGGCTTGAACCCCCAGGCCCAAATCCCAGCTCTCCTGATTATAAGGTCATGCAGCTGGGCAAAGCACTCACCTCTCAGGGTTACCGAAAAAGCCTCAAGGGCTGTGGGGAGGATTCAAAGGTGCCTGGCACACAGTGAGCACTGACACACGTTAGCTGGTTGAGTGATTTCCCTAAGGTCCTGCAGAGCAAGAGAAAAACCTGCATCTCCTGACCACATAGCCATCAAAGCCATGCTCAAAAAGCTTTTCAATGTAAGTATTCCCATCAAGAGGAAAGAGATGTGTTTTTTTTGTTTTTGTTTTTTAATGCAAAGCAGCTTCACCTGAAACTGACCTCACCATGGGCGTCTGAGTTTGTTTCTGGAGAGGAGGGAAGGAATGAGCCAGCTCTCCAGGAACTGTGGGGACACACCCAGGTTGCCCAATCGCTCAGGACAGTGGAGCTAGGTGCTTCCCAGGCCCCTTCCTGGGCCAGAGGGCCCTGTGGGGATGCTCTCCTCAGTGCCAGCTCCTCCATGGCCACAGGTCTGCAGAGGACAAACCCAGATAGAACCTTCTCCAGGATCAGCACAGGGCAAGGTTATCACAGGCAGGCCTGGAGTAATCAGCAGAGTCACAGAGGCCACACTGTCTCTCACTACTCAGGACAGGGCAACGACTGTTCCTACCCACGCTTTGCCTCTGAAGCTGCCCTCATGGTTTTTCAGGGCTGCTGGCTCATAATAATAATCCTGCCAGCCCTGGACACCTCAGCTTCCTTCTGTCTTTCTGTGCAGTTCTGCCAGCCTCAGCTTCCTTCTGCCTTTCTGTGCAGTTCTTTCTCCAGACTGGCTCCCTTTCCATCTCTACTCCCTTCATAAATTGGGGCAGTAGATGGCCTCTCAGCCCTTTCTTTCCTCCTCAAGCTAAGCTGGAACTCTGTCTCTTACTTCAAGCTCTTGGGGACAGTCTGACCCACCCAGTAAACCTTTTCAAGCCAGGGCCTGATGGGGTGAGAAGGGGGCTGCACCCTATAAGTCCTCCAAGATCTAATCTCACCCCATCTGGTCCTGCTCTCCTTCCTGCTGATCCAGCTGTTCTCCCTTTAGGGATAGAGAGGACATCCACACAAATCCTTCCTGACACTATGACTTGTAAGATGAACTCTGTGTTTGGTTTCCTAAGCTTTGGCCTCCGAAGAAAAACCCCTTTCTCAACATACTGCATGTGACATATGCATGCTGGTTTTCAGACCATGCTGTTAACTATGGCTTCTGAAGCTTCTACATTGAAACTTTTTTGTTCTAGGCCAGAGCTGCTCAGTCCTTACCCGTGTGTAATAACCTGAGGAGGTTACGTGTTAAAACAGATTTCTCGGCCTCATCCCCAGAGACAGGCTGTGAGGTTCAATAGATGTGGGGTGTGAGCTTCAGTAGAGGTGGGCTGTGAGCTTCAGTAGATGTGGGCTGTGGTCCCAAATGCTGCCTCCCTCTCAGGTAATGCTGATGCTGCCCGTCCGCCAACTCCACCTGGAGCCAAACTGTTCTCGAAACTTCAGCATTCACCCTGAAGTAACGAATGTTCCCAGCTTAAAGTCGGAGGGGAGAAGAGAAATGAGGGAAAAAATGCCGGCAAGAAATATCTCACTTAAGACATTTCCAAACACTGACCTACTCCACAGGTTTACCCTTGCAAAGCAATGAGTTCTTTGCAAAGCAAGGTTCTGAGAAGTAAGGAAATGTGCGCAGGTCACACAGTTTTTGATTGATTGGCAGAGCCTGGATCCAGGTGCTAACCTGTCTGCTTGGTCCTGGCCCACTGAGACACTGTGAAACCGAATTCACGTGAGGTTGATCGTTGCTGGCAGAAGCATCACCAGACTCTTCTGACATGGCCAGTCAGAACTGTTATCTCTGCTACCCACACAGTGTTCACAAATGCACATGCAGCTATCTGTACTCCTCAGGTTAGGGTGCTGGATGACTGTGTCTGAACAGTGGCCAGAGCAGCCTAGCTGGGACAGGCATTCCCACCCTTGGGTCTTCCATGCCTGGCTTGATCCTGCTCTCCAGATAGCATGACTATGACTGACAGGTTAGGACTGTCCTAAAATATGACTGACTGTGTGAGATTCTCAAGTACCAAATGTTACAAGGAGTAGAAAGCGTTAGCACCATGGTTCTCACAGTGCAGTCCCAGGCAAGTGCAGTGGCTCACACCTGGAATCCCAACACTTTGGGAGGCTGAGGCTGGAGGATGGATTGAGGCCCAGAATTCAAGACCAGTCTGGGCAACATAGTGAGACCCCCATCTTTAAAAAATATTGTAAAACAATTAGCTAGGTATGGTGGTGCATGCTTGTAGTCCCAGCTACTCAGGAGGCTGAGGTGGGAGGATCGCTTGAGCCCAGGAGTTTGAGGCTGCAGTGAGCTATCATCAGGCCACTGCACTCCAGCCTGGCTAACAGAGTGAGGCCCTGTCTCTAAAAAAATTAAAAGCTTTTTTTTTTAAATCAATTTAAAAAAGTGTGGTCCCCAGATCAGGAGCCTCAGCTTCACCTGAGAACTTGTTTGGAACCCAAATACTTGGATCATAGTCCAGACTAATGAAGCAACAACTTTGGAGTTAGGGCCCAGCAGCCCGTATTTTAACATACCTTCCAGGATTGTGATGCACAGCCAAGGCTTGAGAACTGCTATTCTTTGGAGAAAGTTAGCCGGATTTCTAGTATGGTTTGGGAGGCTTTGATTTGGTGGCATGGAGGGTTCCCTGCTCTCTGGGTTAACTCTGACATTCACTGGTAGAGGAGTTTGTGAAGCATATGGTGATAACCTGGCTGTGAGGTTAACTGCACACTCCTGCCTCACTCGTTTGCATCTTGCAGTGGAGAGGATTTATTGCCAGGATGGTCTTGTTGCTGTGGTAACTCTTGCATTCAGGCTAGGCTCTTCCTCTGTGGGGGATAAATTTACATCACTTAGACGCTAGGTAAACTCAATGTCCTTCTCTGTTTCCCAGAGCCCAGAAAAGCCTGTTAATTGTCCCTGCAGTGGTAGACCGAATCACTGCCCTGGCCCAACTGGCCTTGGTGTATTTCTTTTCTTTTCTTTCCTTTTTTTTTTTTTTCTAGTTTTGATCGCGTTGCCCAGGCTGAAGTGCCGTGGTGCAATCTCAGCTCACTGCAACCTCTGCCTCAGCAATTCTCCTGCCTCAGCCTCTGAGTAGCTAGGATTACAGGTGCATGCCACCACACTCAGCTAATTTTTTGTATTTTTAGTAGATATGGGGTTTTATCATGTTGGTCAGGCTGATCTTGAATGCCTGACCTCAGGTGATTCACCTACCTCGGCCTCCCAAAGTGCTGGGATTTCAAGCATGAGCCACCACGCCTGGCAGCTGTATTTCTTACAGTGTTCAGGAACTCCCAATTTTCTGTTTTAGAAAAAAGTAAATTGAATGTTATATTTGGGGTTGGTATGGAGGAAAAGTTAAATATTAAATTTGAATTCAATTGAACATGGACACAAGCAATGGTCACCAAGTCTGGAACAGGTTGTGTGAGCTCCTTGCGGCGTTTATCCAGTGCTGTTTCAGAAAAATCTCTATTTCAGTCTATTCCTATATGTTAGTTATTGAAAAACAATAGGCAATTGCAGAAACAAGTTGACCTTTTTGTCCCAGTTACAAAGGAGACTGGGCCTTATGCCAAACAACTTGTTACAAAAAGAGCTAGGGTTCCAGACTGCACCGAAGCTCCATGAGACCACTCTTCATCTGTACACGGACAGGTGGCCGGCTCTGGAGGCCAAGCTCTTGCCTCGCAGTCTGGTGGTGAATCCACCATAGTCTGGTGAGTGTAAATATATTTTCCTTTCTCCCCTTCCCATTGCAATTTGCTTATTTTATCAATCTGCTTATTATTATATTATTTGCTTCTTGCATCCGCACTGTCATTTACATGGGATAAAGGTTGTTTAGCCTTAAAGGTATTGTGTGTGTGTCTTTTCTTCTTCCCTCTTGCGTTTCCTGCATGGAACAGTCGGGTACTTCGTATGATATAAAAAAAGTATGCTAGCCTCCATTATTTCTGTAAGTGACACAGCAAGTAAATGTGAGGCAAATTCTTTTGTGTGTGTGTGGGGAGGAGACACCATTCATATGAAATTTAACCTTTTAAAGTGTACACTTTGGTGGCTGTTAATTTTTAAAGTGCATGGTACCACAACAGAACTTTCTGGAGTGATAGAAATGTTCTACAGCTAGTTTTGCATGACTATTTCATAGGGACATAAAATTATCAAATTTCTTTCTTAAACTGAATAATTGAGGCCAGTTCATATTATTGTATCTAAACTACACCTCAATTTAAAACAGTAACTTTTAATTATTAAAATGTTATTTTAATTTAATTTAGCATTCTTTTATTTAAACAATTTCTAAAATAATAATTTTAAAAGCAAACAGCACTACTTTTTAAAAAATCTGTCATGATTAAAATGTGGGAAACATACAGTGGGTTGACTCAATGAAACTGTCTCCAAATTAACAAGCAAACGATAGGTCACATTTGCCTTGTGGTATTCCTTCATCATTTCTCAAACCCATTTCTCATTTCTGTTAAGGATATGCAGATAACCAAAGATCTTATAAGTCAGGTTAACTTGCCTACAGCAATAGAGCCTTAACATACACCAATAAATAGTATCGACTTTGTGATTACACACTTTAGAAACATCATGCTGTGAGGTGGGGAGGTAAAAAAAAAAAAAAGGAAGGAAAACATCAGATGTATTACTTGATGTAAATACAAAAAAAGTTGAGTTTTTTTTTTTTTTGCTTTTGCTTTTGAGACCAAGTCTTACTCTGTCATCCAGGCTGGAGTGTAGTGGTGCGATTTTGGCTTACTGCAACCTCTACCTTCTGGGCTCAAGCAGTTCTCTTCCCTCAGCCTCTGGAGTAGCTGGGATTACAGGCATGCACCACCATGCTCTGCCAATTTTTTTTTGAGGTGGAGTCTTGCTCTGTCACCCAGACTGGAGCACAGTGGTGCAATCTCGGCTCACTGCAACCTCCACCTCCCGGGTTCAAGCGATTCTCCTGCCTCAGCCTCCTAAGTAGCTGGTATTACAGGTGCCCACCACCACACCTGGCTTTTTTTTTTTTTTTTGTATTTTTAGTAGACACGGGGTTGGTCTCGAACTCCTGGCCTTGTAATCTGCCCTCCTCAGCCTCCCAAAGTACTGGGATTACAGACATGAGCCACTATGCTTGGCCTTACTTTTTAAAATAGTATGCCCACTCTCCAAATAAGCAATAGCCTATTATACATATAATATATTATATATGTAGTATAATATATTATACATTCACCAACTGAATGAGCAAGTTGGTTTTAACATGTCTGTGAGAATTATATACTGTTTTGGATTTTCCTTGATTTTACTCTAATTTTCATCTTAAATCTAAGTGGTATGCACACAGACAAATGATGTAGTAAAACATGACTAAGATTAAAATGAAAAAAAAAACAGTCTTAGTTTCTCGAGAGAAATGATGTAATTATCTGAGGCAATTTTCTAAGCATGGGAAAAAGACATTATAAGGGACAATCATACCAGAAAAACTAATTTCATTCTGAGAAAGAAAATAAACTTTTATCTGAGTAATGCTTTAGTTATCAGGTCCAGAGAGGCACTGAAATGTGACAGTGTGTGACAGCAGTCACGAACTTGAGCTAAGTGACTACCTCTTGAAGCCACTTGCTATGTGGGCTCTAGACTAATGCCAAGCAGCCATAAAATACCATACACTGGACACCTATGGTTTAATGATGTACATCTAATCATTAATCAGTGTTATTTCTATAAACCAAGGAGCACTCCTGTCAAGCACCTTTTTCAGCCCACCTTTTGTATCCTTTTGCCCTTTAAAACCTGCCTGCAGCAAACACTGGCGGGAGCACTCTGCAACTGGGAAGTGTGTCCTGGGCTGCAGTTCCCAATCTTGGCTCAGTAAACTCTCTAAGTTTGCTTCAGTTTCCTTCTTTAGGTCAAGAATTCCTACTGCTATCTTAGGTACATGCGCTCAACTTCCTTATTGAAACCATAGACGATTACTTTTTTTTTTTACTTTTGAATGTGAGAATATATGTAATGTGCTGTGTTAATACAGTGATTACTAAAATATGCATTTATTTATTTAGTTTTTGAGACAGAGTCTCACTTATCAGCCAGGTTAGAGTACAGTGGTGCAATCTCGGCTCACTGCAATCTCCAGCTCCTGGGTTCAAGCAATTTTCAGCCTCCCGAGCAGCTAGGATTACAGGCATGCGCCATCACGCCCAGCTAGTTTTTGGTATTTTGCTAGAGACGGGGTTTCCCTGTGTTGGCCAGGCTGGTCTCGAACTCCTGGGATCCAGTGATCCACCCACTTCTGCCCCCCATAGTGCTGGGATTACTGATGTAAACCACCATGCCCCGGGGCCTTATTTCTAAGGAGATATGTATGTTTTTGCTATATCTTTTCTGGATGTGAGATCATCTATATGTGTATGTGTGCAGGGGTTCTTATTTCAAGCTAGGTATCTAAGTAGGTGAGAGTGAATATGGGAGGTATTTACCTACAGCTGTGTGTGCACTCTCTCCAAAAGGTTTGTAATTAGGGTGTTGTGAACCAAAGGTGGGCCAGGAGTCACTGGCTATGCATAGATTTCAAACAGAGCTGGGTATGCATGGGTCTGAAACAGGTAATGCTTCCACTCATGGAATGTAATCCTAAACACATTCAGCAGTTTTAGAGTGATAATCTCCTTTTTTTCAGACAGGGTCTTGCTTAGTCACCCAAACTGCAATGCAGTGGTGCAATCTCGGCTCACTGCAACCTCCACTTCCTGGGTTTAAGCAATCCTTTCACCTCCTCAGCCTCCCGAATAGCACCACAGGCATGCATCACCACACCCAGCTTATTCTTGTATTTTTTGTAGAGACAGGGTTTCACCATGTTGCCCAAGCTGGTCTCAAACTCCTGGGCTCCAGCGACCTTCCTATCTTGGACTCCCAAGGTGCTGTTATTACAGGGATAATCTTTTTTTAAAGGAAGAAGAGAATATACTTACTGAACAGCTAGTCTATGTTAAGCACCACTTGAGGTACTTTATGGCTATTATTTCCTAAAAGTAATATTTACAACTAACATAAGCAGGTATGAACTGGCCCAGTTTTATAGATAAGGAACCTGAGGCCTTTCCAAAGCAAAGTAGTAAGTGACAGAGCAACCTGGTTTCTGAGCCTGTAATTTCATTCTCTACCACAGTCTCAACTAAAACATAAAATAATTTCTTCAGTAAAATAAAAAATGAGCTCTCACTCATTTCTAGTGATATGGAATGTAATTTTAACTTTTTTGCTCAGAAAGCTTCATATTTGATTTGTACGTAAAAGAGAATTACAGATGTTTGCTTAAGGCTCAACACCATAAAACTGAAAGGACCCTGGGCTTTGGTTTCATTGCAAACAGCAGCACCTACCTGATAGGGAAGAGCATTCCCTCCCCTCTGGGCTCCTCCGCAACTGTCTTTCTAGGTTCTCTTCCTCCTTCCCTGTCCATCTCTCTTCAATCCCCATCATAGATGAACCCTCTTCTCTGCCTACCTCTTAGAGTCTTCATTTCAATCTTCATTTTGCTCTAGAAGCCCTCCCTGGGCAATCTTGTTAATGCCCTGGTTTTACCACTCTTTAACCCGTTTCCAGGTGTAGCACCTAGATGGCTCTCTGGGCTCTCCAGCGAACAATTCCAAAGCCTAACTCATTTTCTTCTTTATCCCCTCCTCCCCACATTCCACATTTTCTCCTGCATTTCTGTGTTGGCATCATCACCCACCCAGCCTTGCAGGTGAGAAATCTGGGAGGCATTGGGAACAGCCCCAGCTGCATCCAGTGAGTCTTCTTCATTTAATGAGGTTCTGTCATTTATTTCTCCCCAAATGCTTGCAAACGCAACCTTTCTTCTGTCCCCTCCACCATGGCTTTGGTTAGTCATGGCCCTCATCACTGACCTCAGGACCATGGCATCAACTGGTCTCTGGCCTCCAACCAAACCTCCTTCCGGTGCACATCATCTGCCTCCAGTTGCTGTTGCCAGCTCCCCACTGAGTAGACCAAGCTTGTCCAACCTGAGCCTCTCAGCCACATGCAGCCCAAGACAGCTTCAAATCTGGCCCAACACAAATTCTTAAACTTTCTTAAGCGTTTTTTTTTTGAGATGGAGTTTTGCTGTTGTTACCCAGACTGGAGTGCAATGGCACGATCTCGGCTCACCGCAACCTCTGCCTTCTGGGTTCAAGCAATTCTCCTGCCTCAGCCTCCTGAGTAGCTGGGACTACAGGCGTGCACCACCATGCCCAGCTAATTTTTGTATTTTTAGTAGAGACGGGTTTTCACCTTGTTGACCAGGATGGTCTCGATCTCTCGACCTCGTGATCCACCCGCCTCGGCCTCCCAAAGTGCTGGGATTATAGGCGTGAGCCACCGCGTCCGGCCTTATTTGCCTTTTTTTTTTCTTAAGGGTTTTGTGTGTGTGTGTGTGATTTTGTTCGTGTATTTTATGTGTGACCCCAGACCATTCTTCTTCCAATGTGGCCCAGGGAAGCCAAAAGATCGGACATGCTGACAGATTATTACCTCCTCCCTCAACCTAAAACCTTTTTCTGGTTCCTTTGTATCTACAAGATAATAGTTTAAGTGTCCTGCACATTCCACCTACTTCCTTTTTTCTATCTCTGTTAATGTTAAAAATTCCCTGCATTGATCAGGTAGGATGGCTTATGCCTATAATCCCAGCAATTTCAGAGGCCAAGAGTTCAAGACCAGCCTGGCCAACATGGCGAAACTCAGTCTCTAGTCTGTAGTCCCAGCTACTCAGGAGGCTGAGGTAGGAGGATCACTTGAGCTGGGGAGGTGGAGGCTGCAGTGAGCTATAATTGCACTATTGCACTCCAGCCTGGGCAATGAGAGTGAGACCATCTCAAAAAAAAAAATCCCCTATATTAAATTATTCCAAGTTTGCAAGAGACATCATGCTACTTTAGGTGGCTGTCTCCATAAAAACATGCCTCTACTTCAATTGCCTTGCTGACTTGTAATGATTTTTTCTTTTTTCCTTCAAGAAATCAGCCCAAATAGACTTTCAGGGATTCACCTTCTTTGGGAAGCTTTCCTTCAGACCTTGTGCCTCTCCTGTTCTTGCTTTATTGTCCCAGTGTTGCTCTCATGCTGTTTATACATGTGACTCCCTTTCCTAAGCTGTCAGATCCTCGAGGCCAGCATAGCATCTAGCACACAGCTCATCAATTGTACAAGCTCTTATAGATTAACTACAGGAAAATTCATCATTCTTAGACTGTAAATTAAAAACTGTAAAGTCTGCATGTAAAAGAATGTTATCTGGATAATGTTCTTGTTAACTGTAGAGATAGCAGTTCTATAAAAGCTGCTTTGGGGTTGTTTCCACGACCACAAGTCAGTCAAGCACACAGTACAACTTAGACAAATGCAACATATAAACCCTGGGTTGGATGATTCTAGAATTTAAAATACAGATATAAAGGATATTTTTGAGACAACTAGAGAAAAATAGCTGATATTTATGATATTACTATATTTATGATAGGTGATATTATTGAATGAATGTTAATTTTCTTAGGGATGATAATGTTATTCTAGCCAGCTAGAATATCCTTTATCTTAGGCAGTGAGTACATGCTTAAATTTTTGGGGGAAAAAGCCTTATGTCTGTAACTTGTTTTCAACATTGTTTTTCGAGACAGGATCTCACTTGGGTTGCCCAGGCTGGAGTGCAGTAGCACAAGATCAAGATTCATGGCAGCCTTGACCTCCCAGGCTCAGATGATCCTCCCACCTCAGCCTCCCAAGCAGCTGGGACCACAGACATGTGCCACCACACCTGGCTAACTTCTGCATTTTTAGTGGAGATGCGGATTCACCATGTTGCCCATGCTGGTCTTGAACTCCTGGACTCAAGCCATCTGCCCGTTTTAGCCTCCCAAAGTGTTGGGATTACAGGCATGAGCCACGTTCCTGGCCTCAACAAGTTAATTTTTAAAAAGCATACATCTACAGAGACAGTTAATGTGACAAAGTTAATTGATAAGAAGTATGAGTATCCATCTTTCAATGTCCCTGCATATTTGAAAAATTTCACAAAAAAATGCTTGAGGGAAATGCTAAGAACACAAGGACAACAAAACCCAAAGCTTTTGAAATTTAAGCATCAACATTGCTTTTGACCTCTCCCCCTCCCAAACCTGCAGAATGGTACCGCCCATTGCCATATTCACACCATCACATTTCAATCAGGTTTGTGTTTTAAAGTTGAAAGCCAGGGTCATCCCTTGAAAAACACTCTGTACTTTGCTTAGCTGGCCAACTAACACTAGGCTGTTCATTTTTGTGTGTGTAAATATCATATTCGACTTTAGAAGCTTAAGCAAATAAAAATGTGCTTCCCAACTGCTACATGTAATTCCTTGAGATCTACTACCAAAGACTTTCATCTGAGATGACTTGAGGTGATAAGGAAGCAACAGAAGTTGGCAGTAGTCTCACTTTAATCTTCTCAGAGTTGCCAAATTCCTGGTAAACCCTAGTTATTTTTTATTGCTGTGAAGGTAATGCTGGAGCCCAAAAAATGATACCCGACAGAAGCAGTTTCTCTGCCTTCCTGTCTCTTGCCCCCGATTCTCCCCCAGGTGAGCCATAGAAACTAGAATCCCTTTTCTCCAAGGTGGGGCATAGAAGCCAGAATCCCTTTTCCTAAAAGCCAGCCATAAAACCTAAATACATTGCTCTTAACTTTTCCCCACCTTGCTATGTAACAGCTGGCCATAAAGAAATCATGACACTCATTCCTGAGGGGTCCTACCCCCACACCCAGAAGGAGGAAATGATACAGATAGGCCTTGGTGAACTTCCCCACACAGTCTATTCTAATAGCATTAGGACCACACCCTTTTTGTCTTATCATATTCCTACATTTCATTGAATATAAGCATAAAAATCAATAGTTTTCACTGTATCTTTGGGTCTTCATTCTGAAGGCTTCCATGTCAAGTAAAACTAAGTTTGCTATGCTTTTTCTATACCTGTCTTTTGTTATAGGGGTGTCAGCCATGATCCAAAGGGGAGGAAAGGGATCACTCCTTTCCTCAAGTGATCAGGTGAGTGGGTCACTTGAGATCAAGAGTTCAAGACCAGCCTAGCCAACATGTTGAAACCCTGCCTCTACTAAAAATACAAAAATTAGCCTGGTGTGGTGAAACATGCCTGTAATCCCAGCTACTAGGGAGGATGAAGCATGATAACTGCTGAAGCAGGCAGGAGGCAGAGGTTGCAGTTAATTAAGTTCGTGCCACTGTACTCCAGCCTGTCTAAGCCTAGTGACAGAGCAAGACCCTGCCTCAAAAAAAAAAAAAAAAAAAAAAAAAAGTTAATGAACTTAGGTGCCTACTTAGGAAAACCAAAAACATATGGCCACACAAAAATTTGTAGATGGCTGCTCATAGCAGCACTATTCATAGTAGCCGGAAAATGGAAACAACCCAAATGTCCTTCAGCTTGCCAACGGATAAACAAAAATCGTGTATCCTTACAACGAAACAGTACTGCCAGAAAAAGTAATGACATACTGATAACATAGACATGGTACAAAATGGATGACTCTTAAAAACACTGTACCAAGTTAGGCTGGGCATGGTGGCTCACATTGGTACTCCTAGCACTTTCAGAGGCTGAGGCGGGTAGATTGCCTGAGCTCAGGAGTTCAAGACCAGCCTGGGCAACATGGTGAAACCCCATTTCTACTAAAATTAAAAAAAAAAAAAAAAAAGTAGCTGGGCATGATGGCGTGCCCCTGTAATCCCAGCTACTTGGGAGGCTGAGACAGGATAATCACTTGAACCCAGGAGGCGGAGGTTGCAGTGAGCCAAGATTGCACCTTTGTATTCCACCCTGGGTGACAGGGTGGGTGGACTCCATCTCAAAAAAACAAAAAACAAAAACAAAACACTATACCAAGTTAAAGGAGTCAAACCCAAAGGTCACATATTACATGATTCCATTTACATTAGATGTCCAGAATAGGTAAATCCATAAAGATGGTTCATTAGCATTTCCTGGGGCTGGGAGCAGAGGAGTTGGGACTAGGGAAATGACTGCTAATGGTACAGAGTTCTTTCTCGGGTGAGGAAAATGTTCTGGGATTAGATGGAGATTGTTGCACAACTTCTGGAATATGCTAAAAACCACTGAATTGTGCAGTTTAAATGGGTGAATACTGTGGCATGTGAATTGTATCTCCATATAAAAAAGGTCAAAAAAAAAGCAACTTTCTTATCTCATTTTTAAGGACAGTCTATGGAGTTGAGGGGCATGTTGGATATAAGTGTATCTTCAGCCTTCAGGTTACCATTGGCCAGAGGGAAGAGTGGCCCCAAACTCTGAAGCGTGCTGGCAAGGCTCCCCATCTTCCCTTCCCCAGTCCCCATAGGAGAATCACAGCGTGGCTTGGCGTCTTTAGGGCCAATCTCCGTATGCCTTGCATTCCAGTTCACCTCCAGGATCCCAGCACTTCCTCCAAGTTAATCTTCACGCAAGTTTCCAACCTCATCTCCTTTACCATCTTTTATTCATAGCCCACCAAATTTTGACTTTGTTACCTATACTGCAAACAGGTCTCAACAAACTACTAGTGAATGAATAAACTTAGGGAAAAAAAAGCTTACTCAGAAATCTGTACTGGATATTAATTAAAGGATGAAATATCATGGTTCAAATGCATTTTTCTCCCATCAAAATATTTTCTCCTCCATTTAAATATATGTCTGCTCTGAGAAATCTTGCACAAATGGTATTGCTGACCATCTAATTTACAAAGCTTTATAAATTTTAAGAAAAACATTTATATATCAAACATAAAATTTCAATATGCAAGATTCAAACTTACAAGAAAATAAGGACTAACTTCTGGACAATGCAGTTATTGCTGGCTGCACTCCTTTAAATCCTTATCCGGAGTCCAAAAAATGTAGACAAACCCTAAAAATGTAGCAGAAGCGCTTCCGCACACTGGTGTCTAGAATCTAGTTTGCACAGAAATGTTTCCACTAAATTTATAGAGTACTCTTCAAAACAAAGAGGTGCAGACTATTCATTTGGTTGCCCTTTGGACCTTCTGCAACTCTTCAATGGGCTTCCATTCTTGGTTGATTGTTATAAGCTGAAGGAAAAAAGAGGAAAAAAAAGTCTTGTTAAAAATTTGCCTTTCAGCCAGGCACAGTGACACGCCTGTAATCCCAGCACTTTGGGAGGCTGAGGTGGGCAGATCATGAGGTGAGAATTTCCAGACCAGCCTGGCTAACACGGTAAACCAGATCTCTACTAAAAATACCAAAAAAAAAAAAATTAGCCAGGCATGGTGGTATGAGCCTGTAGTCCCAGTTACTGGGGAGGCTAAGGCAGAAGAATCGCTTGAACCTGGGAGGCAGAGGTTACAATGAGCTGAGATTGCACCACTGCACTCCAGTCTAGGCAACAGAGCGAGACTATCTCAAAAAATAAAAATGTCTTTCATATGCATGTCCTACTTTAGAATTCATCCACACTCCTCTGGAAAAACCACCACCATTGTGTTTGTAGTCAAAGAACTACCTCTTTCCATCTCTAAAACATACACAAAATACTGATGTGAGCTGGTTTCTATCAGTTCATCTTTTTTAAAAGCCCTTGGGTTCCTAAGGGTTATAGAATCAGAGAGAAAGATCAAACATATGTGCCCTACTTTCACTTAGCAGTATCCAGATTTTTAAAAATTATTTTTAAAGACGGGGTTTCACCATGTTGGTCTGGCAGGTCTTGAACTCCCAACCCCAGGTGATTCGCCCGGCTTGGCCTCCAAAGTGCTTAGATTACAGGCGTGAGCCACCACGCCCGGCCCAGTTTTTTTTTTTTTTTTTTTAACACAGTCTTGCTGTGTTGCCCAGACTGGAGTGCAGTGGCACAATCACAGCTCACTGCAGCCTCCGCCTCCACCTTCACCTTCCAGGTTCAAGCAATTATCATGCCTCGGCCTCTGTAGTAGCTGGGATTCAGGTGCATGCCACTATGTCTGGCTAATCTTTGTATTTTTGGTCAAGATGGGGTTTCACCATGCTGGCCAAGCTGGTCTTGAATTCCTGACTTCAAGTGATCCACACACCTTGGCCTCCCAGATTGTTGACATTACAGGTGTGAGCCACCGCACCTGACAGGTAAGTTTGCCAGGTATTATGTGAGCCATAAGTTCAAAAAGTGTATCTACTCCTCCTGAGTGGTTGGACAATGCTCCTGGCATACAGTGGGCTCTTAAATTTCCTCATTTTAATTACTCAATGAAGGTACAATTTATCTAAGTTACAGAACAAGGGTAAGGTATTAAATCTATTTTGTTGACAAAGGTGCTAAGGTTTGGGCAAAATTGAAATCATTTGTTTTTAATTTAACAATACCTTTTGAGGTACAGTAGGGTCCACAGTTTCCCAAGGTTCTGGATTTCCTTTTCGATCAATGCTAAAATTAATACAAAGCCAAATAAATATTAAAATGTGAATTTAAACCAACACTAGTACTCAGTCTATAAATGTGCTAGAGACAAAACAAATTTCATACTTAGGCATTCATCTGCTAATGATCAGGAACCATTAGTAGTAACTAAAATTGTTGGGAAATTCTCTAAGGGAGTTTCAAGGCTTGGCTCAAACATTAAGGATCAGATCCTCTACAGGGTAGGAGGTCCGTATTCTCTTGATTGGGCTACACTGCGGAAGGATCCCACAAACTGAATAATCATAGGAGTGGAAGTGCCACGCTAAGGACGTGGAATAATGTTCTTATCTCAGTCTGTGGGAGGGACAGAGAGGCTAAGATTGAACTCTGCAGGGGGTGAACTCCAGGTCTCTGAACCCCTCTGCCAGAGGTTAGAGGACCGCCCTCTTCAGCCCCGCACAAGCCTCCATCAGTTTCAAGTTGATCTTTTCCTCATATTCCAGGATACATACTTTTGGTTTTTACTTTCTTCTATCCAAAGTTGAGATTAGGTTCACCGAAGACAACTGAATTTACCAATTTACCACACTAGTAAAAATCTAATATGCTAAAATTTAAAATTTTAATTAAAATGATTGATTTACGATATATATCCCCCAAAACCACTGAAGAACTTCGCATTTCAAAACTTAAAAAAATTAAAGTCAAGCTTTACTTCACTGCCAGAGAGTGGAGAACCAATGGATAAAATAATAAACACAAGAAATAAACTAATTTTATTAATATCATGGTTTTAAAAAATTTTTTTTCTAATTTATATTTTCTGACCCATTGGTAGACAATACCATAAGAACCTTCTGATGAAAGATGCTTTTTAACCCTGACTCCCAGTTCACAATTTGGCATTCTTATCTATGGGAAAAATTAATCTCATAAAGTAAAAGTCAACCAAACACTGCAAAAACGTTTTCATAACTTGAGACCTACTTACATCACATCGGTTTTCCGAAGAGAATACACAGCGAAAGATGAGGCTCCACTGGCCGCCAGACTCATGAACACCACCAAGGGAATGAGCTAACAGGGAACAGGTGGAGGAGACACATTCGGACATTTCATTAAACATTTGAAGCACAACAAAAAAACTACATTTATTTTATACTTCTTCAAAATCTATGCCACCTTTTCATCTTTAAAGTTAAAACTTTAGTCAGGATTTTCAATTGTTTTAAAAACTTACTTCCTTGTTTTTCCTCAGGAATTGGAAAAAGCCCATGACTACTTCAATGTAGAATTGCCAGATCTAGAAATTAAAAACCCAAAATATTGATGGCCCTGGTGGGCGCCAAACGGTCCACCGCGCTCCTCAAGCCAACAGAAGGCCGGCACTTCTGCGTCTCTGCGGATGGGAGACTCACCTGGACGCGGAGCGGTGCGCACGGACGACGATAACGCCCGAAACCGAACAGACTGCCGGCCGCCCCACCGTATATATAGCGATCACAACCGCCCTGGGAGGGCCGGGCCAGCGCGCTCTGGTCACGCGCGTGGGGCGGGGAGAGCGCGGGACCTGACTCGCTTTCCCCGCTCGGCGCGCGGCTTCTGGGCGCCCCCTGCAGGACGCCGTGGGCTGACGTGAAGCGGCCGAATGCGAGCGCTGGCGCCCCCTGCCGCTCGCCGGGGTCCTTCTTACCCGCCGCCCCAGGTCGCACTTGGCCACCCTGGCGCTTGTGAGGAGTTTGGAGGTTTGGGGATTAGGAGGTAGAACCCCCTGAGAGCAAGGAGAAGGCTGATGGCCAAGGTCTACGGGAAAGTCAACTTTTCTAAAAGGGGAGCCGGGCCGGGCGCGGTGGCTTAGAACTGTAATCCCAGCACTTTGGGAGGTTTGAGGCAGAAAGATCACTAGAGTCCAGCCTGGTCACGATGAGGAAACCTCGTCTCTACTTAAAAAATAAAAAAAATAAATTAGCGGGCGTGGTGGTGCTTGCCTCTTGTCTCAGCTACTGAAGAGGGTGACGCAGGAGAATCCCTTGAGTCCCAGCCTTTGAGGTTGCAGTGACCCAAGATTGAGCCACTGCATTCCAGTTTGGGCAACGGAGCAAGACCCTGTGTTAAATAAATACAATAAAACAAAATATTTAAATAAATAAACAATAAAGGGGGTCCGGAAAAATGAGCCACAGAGCCGAGGGTTCCAAAAGAGCCTTCCAGGTGCAGGCGGGTAAATTAGAATTAATCCAATCACATTAAAAGCTCCAAAATGTGATGCTGTGCACATATGGAGATCACTAAAATTAAATTGTAAAGTTTATTTCGGAATAACTCCCAGGGCGTCCTTTTTCCTGCAATCAATCAATCAATCACCCTGGGTGAGGGAGAACAAACAAAAGAATTAGCTGGGTCTTTCTGCAGACGACCCTACCGGCTGGCTTCTTCCTTGGGTTCCCTCCTAACTCTCCCCTAAGCCAGCAGCCTCACCTCGCAGTTTGCTGGAGGCTGCAATGGTAACAATTTCATAGAGCCAGGGGCTGTGTGTGTGCCAGACACTGAGCCGGATTCCCCTCGGCATTTTTGCAAGGTGGGTGCGTTATTAAGACTCAGGCTCTGGTCACATCACTGGTAAGTGGCGAGGATGCCAACAGGACGCAGGTCTGTCTGGTGCCCAACACCATTGTTCTGTTTGCACCCCTCTCTTAAATACTGCAATTAAGTAAAGGATAGGTTATTTTAAAACAAACAGTTTAAAGTTCAACCTGTAAGTTAAAGTTACCACGGCAACATCTTAACGTTCTCTAAAATTGGCTAGACCCTGCTCTGTTCCAATCCCGTTTTCATTCTAAACTGGGTTTTGCAGTCAAACGGACCTGAGTTAAGAATCTACCCCTGCTATATTTATTATTAATAGCTGACTTTAAACTACTTAACCTTCATGAGTCTCAGTTTATATATCTGCAAAATGGGGGCAAACCTAGCTGGGGACAGAGTTGGAAAAAATATTAGAATGTATGTAAAGCATGTAGCATTCTGCCCTGCTTGTAGTAGGCACTCAACAAATAGTTACTATATGCAAAGATTTGTTTTTGTTTCTTTTTTTTTTTGAGACAGAGTCTCGTTCTGTCACCCAGGCTGGAGTGCAGTGGTGTGATTTCTGCTTACTGCAACCTCTGCTTCCTGGGCTCAAGTGATTCTCATGTCTCAGTTGCCTGAATATCTGGGGCTACAGGCATGTGCCACTATGCCTGGCTACCTTTTGTATTTTTAGTAGAGACAGGTTTTGCCTTGTTGGCCAGGCTGGTTTTGAACTTCTAACCTCAAGTGATCCACCCGCCTCAGCCTCCTAAAGTGCTGGGATTACAGGTGTGAACCACCACCCCCGGCCTCAAAGATTTGTTTTATATAAGGCTGATCATACATGTAGTTTCCCACTCACTTATTCTGGCAAGGGTTCTTACTATGTAACCCCAGAGCTGTAACTAGAGACACTTGCTGATTGAATGGATCTACGTTATATACTTAATTATCCTTGGTTTGCATTATTTAGAATCAAAGAAGCCTTTTAATGCTCCTTCTGCAAGACTTCTAAGGCTACTTTTGTCAGAAGCCTCACGTTATTAACAAAGAGAAGTTTTTCTAGGATGGAAGGAAGTAAGGGAGGAAGAAGAGAAAGAGGAACAGGATGAAGAGAGATGGAAGAAATCTTACAGTAGTATTTCATGACTCCGAAACTGGAATGAAAATGTATAGCCATTGCCTATTAATAACCTTAAACTCAGAGCCCTGCTCTACTGTATTATTTCTTTTCAAAATGCAATGCAGTTTTGTAGTAGTCTAGGCATTATTCTGAGGATGGGGTCATAGCAGAATTAAAAAGATGAATAAGTTACAAATCACTTACTTCAAGGTGCTTACATTTCAGTGCTCACAAACTCTAATGCAAGGCATGCTCTGTTGTCAAGACAGGTGATTATTATTATTTTTACTTTTTTTGAAATAGAGTCTGGCTGTGTTGCCCAGGCTGGAGTGTAGTGGTGGAATCTCAGCTCGCTGCACCCTCTGCCTCCTGGGATCAAGCAATTCTCCTGCCTCAGCCTCCAGAGTAGCTGGGATTACAGGTGCATGCCATCATGCCCAGCTAATTTTTGTATCGTTAGTAGAGATGGAGTTTTACCATGTTGGCCAGGCTGGTCTCAAACTCCTGACCTCAAGTGATCTGCCTGCCTCAGCCTCCCAAAGTGTTGGGATTATAGGCATGAGCCACTGTGCCCAGCCACAGGTGATTAATTCTAAGGGAGTCTGAGAAAACTTACCAAAGGTGGAGTATTTATTTGAATATACAGAAAGACAAATTAACCGAAAAAAGACACTTTGGGGGCAAGTGACAAACTTAAATAGGATGCAGATATTAGGTGATATTAAAGGGATATTATTAAGTTTCTTAGGTGTGATAATGGTATTGCAGTTAAATTTTTTAAATGGCACCTCCCTTTTCTAGAGCTTGTATGTAGAAATATTTAAGGCAGAAATATTATAATGTCTGGGATTTACTTTAAAATACTTCAACTATGCTGGTTGTGGTGGCTCACACCTGTAATCCCAGCACTTTGGGAAGCCAAGGCAGATGGATCACCTGTCAAGAGCATGACCAGCCTGGCCAACGTGGTGAAATCCTGTCTCTACTAAAAATACAAAAATTAGCCAGGTGTGGTGGCAGGTGCCTGTAATCCCAGCTACTCGGGATGTTGAAGGAGGAAAATCGCTTGAACCCAGGAGGTGGAGGTTGCAGTAAGCTGAGATCGCACCACTGCTCTCCAGCCTGGGTGACAGAGTGAGACTAAGTCTAAAAAAAAAATAATAAGTGGACTCATGCAGTTTAAACCTGTGTTGTTGAAGGGTCAGCTGTATGTGATTCAAGAATCTTCAGATGTTTTGCCCTTTTGCCTGGGGTTGTGAAGGCAAGACCCCAGAAAATTTGTCATTCAGTTATCTAGCAATAAGAACACTTGCCACTCCAAAATGTAATGGAATTCATAGCTTCATCGCCAGTAATGGGAGGATAGAGATGAAATTAGGGTCCTCCCTGCCCCCAAGCCCTATGTACTGGCCAGGGCATCCAGAAGGCACTGCCAGGCCAGTACTGCCTGCGTGACCAGGATGAGAAAGAGGCACACCTCCCCCTTCAGACCCTGGCAGCCCCCAAAGAAGCCCACTCAGAGCACTCACCAGCATCACCCTGTGTGGCTTCCCCAGAGCCCATAATCCCTTGGTGGTGGTTGAGGGGGGGTCTTCCCTGTCCACCCGCAGTTAGCTGCAACTTCTGGATACTTTCTCTGCTGCCACCCAGGCTTGCAGGGGCACTGAAACATGGATGCTTGGTTCCTACCCCAGGAATTTAGATTTTCTTTTCTTTTTTTTTTTTTTTTGTTTAAAGACAAAGTCTTGTTCTGTTGCCCAGACTGGAGTGCAGTGGTGCGATCTCAGCTTACTACATTCCCGCCTCCCGGGTTCAAGTAATCTTCTTGCCTCAGCCTCCTGAGTAGCTGAGATTACAGGTGTGTGCAATTATACCTGGATAATTTTTGTGTTTTTAGTAGAGACAGGGTTTCACCATGTTAGCCAGGCTGGTCTCAAACTCCTGACCTCTGGTGACCCACCCACCTTGGCCTCCCAAAGTGCTGGGATGACAGGTGTGAGTCAACCGTGCCTGGCCAGGAATTTACATTTTAATCAGCCCAGTTCAGGCTTTTATGAGAAAGATAAAATATTATTAAATATTTTTTGTTGAAATTTTCTCCATTTGACAGTGGATGTGTTAATTCTGACACCTCATCCTTCAGCGGCTGCCTTATAACCAGGCTTGTAACACTGGACTTGGTGAATTTTGCGGGTTTTAGAGATGTTCTGTATTGTTTAGCATTAGTCAACCTTGAGCAATAATGTGGCCCAGAAAACAATTTGAGTTCGGTTTATAGGGAAAACTGTTTCTACTTCCCGGTATACCAGAAGAAAGGTGTTCAGAAGCTAGTGTTTTAATTTTCTTGTAGGTCAAGAATACAGCTTTTGGAAGTTGCCCAGAGCCATTCTGAAATCAGATTCAAACAGGATTAAAGAAATTCTTTACCTCATTTTGTCATTTATTGAGCATTTCAGTGAGAAGAGACAGATAGTCTTTGTGCTCAGGAAGCTTCCAGTGTTCTGTTGAGAAGTTGCAGAGTTATCCCTCCCTATCTTCAGGAAATTGGTTCCAAGACACCTCTCAAGACACCCAAATCCACAAATACTCAACACCCTGATATAAAATGGTGTAGTATATGCAGGTGGCTTACACATGTCCTCCTGGTTATACTTCAGACCATCTCTAAATTACTTATAATAACTAATATAAATGTTATGCAAATAGTTATTACACTATTATTTTTTATTTGGGCTATTTATATTTATTTTTTTATTGCATTTTAGGTTTTGGGGTACATGTGCAGAACATGCAAGATAGTTGCATAGGTACACACGTGGCAGTGTGATTTGCTGCCTTCCTCCCCTTCACCCACATCTGGCATTTCTCCCCAGCTCCCCCTGCCCGCTGTCCCTCCCCTATTCCCCCCAATAGACCCCAGTGTGTAGTGCTCCCCTCCCTGTGTCCATGTGTTCTCATTGTTCATCACCCCCCTATGAGTGAGAACATGCAGTATTTCATTTTCTGTTCTTGTGTCAGTTTGCTGAGAATGATGTTCTCCAGATTCATCCATGTCCCTACAAAGGACATGAACTCATCGTTTTTGATTGCTGCATAATATTCCATGGTGTATATGTGCCACATTTTCCCAGTCCAGTCTATCATCAATGGGCATTTGGGTTGGTTCCAGGTCTTTGCTATTGTAAACAGTGCTGCAATGATTTGTATTTATTTTTTTGAGACAGTCTTGCTCTAGTCACCCAGGCTAGAGTACAGTGGCATGATTTTGACTCACTGCAACCTCCACCTCCTGGGTTCAAGCAATTCTCCCACCTCTGGCTCCCAAGTAAGCTGGGATTACAGGTGCACACCACCATGCCCCAGCTAGTATTTTGTATTTTTAGTAGAAATGGGGTTTCACTATGGTAACCAGGTTGGTCTTGAACTCCTTACCTCAGGTGATCTGCCTGCTTCAGCCTCCCAAAGTGCTGATTATAGGCATGAGCCACTGCACCTGCCCTATTTTTTTTTTTTTTTATTGCTGTATTTTGTTTTTTTCAAGTGTTTTCAACCCACACAGCTGGTTCAATCTGCCCATGTGGAGCCCACAGATGTGGAGGGCTGACTTTAATTACAAATTAAAAAGACATATTCAAATCAGCTCAGCCTTGAACAAACGTGGTTGCTAAATTACTAGCCTACTAGAACCTTTCTGGAAAAGAACAGGGGCCCACAGCCAGATGTCTCAGTTAAGGGGTTCAGGCCAGGGTTTTCCAGGTGCAGGATAGTTGCCTTGTTCAATAAGATCAATAAATAAAAATGAATAATAAGAATTCGAGTAACTTTTCTAGGTATTTCCCTATTAGTCAAAAGCAAAGGTCAGTTTGTTACAATAATTTTTTTTGTTTTTTTTTGATACGGAGTCTTGCTCTGTAGCCAAGCTGAAGTGCAGTGGCACAATCTCAGCTCACTGCAACCTCTGCCTCCCAGGTTTAAGCGATTCTCCTGCCTCAGCCTATGGAGTAGTTGGGACTACTCAGAATAATTTTAATTGAGTGTCTTATACCTATAAATCAGGTTTTTTCCTTAATTATTCCCAATAGTCCTGGCTGCATTCAGTTATAGGGAACTTTCCAATAACTGCTTAACATGACTTCATACATTTCATGCAGTCGTCTCTCATAGCCTCTACTTCTTTTGAAGCACTTCTTACCATTGTAATTAATTCACTGACAATGTCTGATGCCTGCCTTGTTCACTGGACATTCCAGCACCCAGCTTAGCACCTTGTGAGTGAAGAATGGCCCAGGAAAAGATGTTTACCAGATACTGTTAGGTGAGAACAAGAGTTACGCAGTATCACTCTTTTCTGGTTTTAAAAATCATCTATATATGTATGAAGAACTAGAAGGTTAAACACTAAAGGATTTTTTCTTTAGTTTCTGTATTTTCTAGTACTCAAGTTATTTTGTAATAAATGAAAATAAAAATGTACATTTAACCATCCTGTTTAAAAACTTTACTAACATCTACAAAAGGAAAAATAGCAATATATTGGAGAAACCAGACAATACTGCAAACAAATCATCAAAATTAACATCATCAATAATGTACAGATGTCATGTGCCTTTAGCTGTGATCCTCCAATGAAACACAGTGCCCCATGTAGTGCTCCATTGGCAATACATAACCTGAATCTATCATGACAAAACATCAGATATAAGTCCAGGAACAAACTGATCAATAAAATAATTGGTCTCTACTCTTCAAAAATGTCAGGGTCAAGAAAGATTGAGAAACTTTAAAGAGGTTAAAAAGACATGGCAACTAAATGAAATGTGTGACCCTATAGTGGATCCTGTAATGGGGGAAATTACCACATAGGACATTACTGGGACAGTACACAAAACTTACTGGATGACAGATCGGAATACTGTATTAGTATTAAATTTCCTGAATTTGGTCATATAATAACCTTATCTGTAATAAATACACACCAAAGTATTAAGGGGTGAAAGGGACATTACGTATATAACCTATTCTCAAACCACTAAAAAAAAACACTGTGTATATATGTACAAGGGGCAAAGGAAGACAGAGAAAGCAAATGTGGCAAAATGTTAAAAATTAGTGAATCTGGGTTTGAGCACATAAAAGTTCTTTGTACTATTTCTGCAACTTTTCTGTAAGTATGAAGTTATTTCAGAGTTTAATTAAAAAAGCAATTGCCCAAAACCAACCACCCTTACAACAAAATCAACACACACACACTTTCTTCCTAAAGTACAGTATTTTTTTAATATGCCTTTTTGCAAAAAAAAATGAGCCTTACCTTATGAGGTGTAAGTTTTTTTTTGTTTTTTTTTTAAATTAACATGAAATACAAACACAAATTTTTAAAGTGTGAAGCTGCAAACAACAGGCAAGTTCACATTTCAATTAATGTGAACAACTGAAAAAGGGTGTAGGGCAACTGTTAATCTCTTACAAGTTAGAAAATCCTTTTCTTAAATACGTTTACATATAAAGTCAGGTCCTTCCAACTTAATGACAAGGGTGTAAGGTAATTTTTAAATATCTTCCAAGTTAGAAAATCCTTCTTTCTTAAATAAGTTTTCATATAAAGCCAAGTCCTTGTGACTTAACGACGGTTTTACAGTCTTAAGTGACTTTAGAAAGTGCTCTTGTTTCACTGTGGTTGTATCTAGTCCGTTTTCTTGCAGAGCCAGCAAAGCAGCCTATTAAGACACAAGGAATAGAAAACAATTTCTTTTCTTTTTTCACAATACTTTAAACTCTGAATGCAAAATCTCAGCATCACTTCATTGGATCCTAATATTTATGCTGCTAAAAGTTAAATAATACACTTTGTAGACCATAACCTCTTTTACATTAATGGGAAAAAAGAAAGCCTTCAAGGGGAAGAACAACTTGCTTTTTGTAGATTAATATATATGTTATGAACCCATATGTATTTTTAAAGATGAGAATATCTTCTTGATCCTGAAGTAGGAAAGACCCATCTTTAGCCAGCGCTGATCATAAAGGAATAGATCAAACACATACCCTATGGCCCAGCAATTCTGCTTGTAGCTGAATATGTTTACAAATAGACATAAGTAGACATGTGAACTAAGAAACATGTACAAGACTGTTCACAGCAGCATAACTCATAACAGTAAAAAAGTAGAAACCTAGATACTCCAAAATAAAAGAATGGATAAACAAATGTAGAATATTAATAGAATATTATAAACTACGCTACACAAAAAACTACGGACAAATTTCTTTTTGGGTTAAAGAACCAGACAGAAAATAATATACACCACATGCTTCCATTCATATAAAGTTCAAAAGCAGACAAACTAATCCCCACTGTTGGAAGTCAGGAGAGAGGTTCCCTTTTGTGTTTTTTCTTTTTTTTTCCTTGACAGTTGCTCTGTCACCCAGGCAGAAAGGACAGTAACAATCTTGGCTCACTGTGGCCTTGACCTCCAGGCTCAAGTGATCCTCCCACCTCAGCCTCCTGAGTACAATTTAAAAAAAAAATTTTTTTTTTTTTTGAGAGAGTCTTACTCCGTCGCCAGGCTGGAGTGCAGTGGCGCAATCTCGGCTCACTGCAGCCTCCACCTCCTGGGTTCAAGCAATTCTCCTGCGTCAGCCTCCTGAATAGCTGGGACTACAGGTACGTGCCACCAAGCCCAGCTAATTTTTCGTAATTTCAGTAGCGATGGGGTTTCACCATGTTGGCCACGATGGTCTCGATCTCTTAACCTCGTGACCTGCCCACCTCAGCCTCCCAAAGTGCTGGGATTACAGGCGTGTGCCACCACACCCAGCTTAAAAAATTTTTGTAGAGACAGGGTCTCTCCATGTTGCCCAGGCTGGTCTCAACTCCTGGGCTGAGGCAATCCTCTGACCTTGGTCCCAGCAAAGTGCTGGGATTACAGGCATGAGTCACTAAGACCAGTCAATAGTTCCCTTTTGGAAGAAGGTAGGTGACGGAGGTTGGGAAAGGGCCCAAAGGAAGATTCTGGGGTGTTAATAATGTTCTATTTCTTGATATAAGTAGTAATTGTAAAAATGTGATCACTTTATGTTAATTCACTGAACTATAACCTTATGATCTGTCATTTTCCTGAATGTAATATTTAGTAAAATTTTATGAAAAAGGTTATCTTAAAGTGGCTTACAGTGTGTCCTGGCCATTGTCTATTCCTTCAGCTTTTTTTAAGAGACAAGGTCTTATTCCTTCACTCAGGCTGGAGTACAGTGGCAGGATCTCAGCTTACTGCAACCTCTGCTTCCCAGGTTCAAGTGATCCTCCCATCTCCACCTCCCAAGTAGCTGGGACTATAGGTGTGTACCACCACACTCAACTAATTTTTTTATTTTCTAGAGATGGAGTCTTACTGTATTGCCCAGGCTGATCTTGAACTCCTGGGCTCAAGCAATCCTCTCGTCTTGACCTCCCAAAGTGCTGGGATTATAGACTCTAGTCACCATGTCTAGCCCACTTCTTCAGCTTTATTTCTTGTGATTCTCCACTCTAAGATTCAGTAATGTCACACCATCTCTTACCTTCAATTCTTTGCACATTTTATTCTCTCCACCTCAATCATTCCCCCTTCCCTACTTAGCTGGCTAACTCCTGATTCGTCCTTTCAATTTTAGTTTATATATCTCCTTTCTCCGAAAGCCTTCTCTGATGTGCCAAATCCCTGGGCTGGTGTCTTTCCTAGGTGCTCCCACAGTACCCTAAACTTCCCCAACTCAATACATATTTTCAACTGCCAATTCAGTATTATGATTTGCCTCTCTACACTACTTACAATAAACCGCATGAGGGATGGGGCCATATCTGTCTGTTTCACATCACATGGTATCACACAGGCTTTTAGTTAATACTGCTGAGTGAATGAAGATTTGAAAAGATAAATGTTTTGAACCACAAATTTCTTCACCGATTAACTTACTTCTGTACAGAGGTTTCTAAGATCAGCTCCAGAAAAAAAACAGGTTTCTGCTGCTAGGTTTTCTAAGGAGACATCAGGTCCTAATGGCATGGTTTTTGTACAAACTTTTAAAATAGAAAGCCTGCCCTGGAACAAAATAAAAAACAATATATTTTAAATTTTATAACACATGCTTGACACAATGATTTATTATTATTTTTTTCTTTTTTTTACTGTCACTCTTAGGTTATGCTTAAGTTACTCACAATGATTTATTAAAACATTTTTACTTTGGGTTTTCTTTCACATAACAGACAAAGCATATACAGGGGTTAGAAAGACTAAGTTATCAATGGCCCATATGACAGTAGTAAAAATAATGACATCATGAAAAGCTTATGACTCTCTTTTTTTTTTTTTGAGATGGAGTCTCGCTCTGTCACCCAGGCTAGGGTACAGTGGCATGACCTTGGCTCCCTGCAACCTTCACCTCCCAGGTTTAAGCAACTCTCCTGCCTCAGCCTCCCGAGTAGCTGGGATTACAGGTGCCCGCCACCATGTCCAGCTAATTTTTGTATTTTTAGTAGAGACAGGGTTTCACCATGTTGGCCAGGCTAGTCTCCAACTCCTGACCTCAGGTGATCTGCCCACCTTGGCCTCCCAAAGTGCTAGGCGTACAGGTGTGAGCCAACATGCCTGGCTGAATCTCTCTTTTGGGTACAAATAATAATATTAGACATGGCTTAAGAAGCAAATACATGAATTAACAGATACAACTTAAAGGTATAATAGACATTAAATTTTTTTTTTTTGAGACGGAGTTTTGCTGTTGTTACCCAGACTGGAGTGCAATGGCACGATCTCGGCTCACCACAACCTCCGCATCCTGGGTTCAAGCAATTCTCCTGCCTCAGCCTCCCGAGTAGCTGGGACTACAGGCACACACCACCATGCCCAGCTAATTTTTGTATTTTTAGTAGAGACAGGGTTTCACCTTGTTGACCAGGATGGTCTCGATCTCTTGACCTCGTGATCCACCCGCCTTGGCTTCCCAAAGTGCTGGGATTACAGGCATGAGCCACCACGCCTGGCCTGACGTTAAATTTTATTTTTCTATCCCTTCAAGACTTAATAAAAGCTCAAAGAACAAAAAATTTCACTCTGTGTCTTTACCCTTCCTTTCAGTGGCTCTGGATGTTAGGAAAACAATTTACTGGTTGACCATGATACATTACATAATCTCTGTAATCTCAGATTTCTGCACTGTACTGTTAAGAATGCTGACACAGATAATCTTCAAAGCCCTTTTAACACTTTAGGATTCTTCCACTCTAGTTGCAAAATAATGCTGAGTAGACTTAGTATTTACAGTCTGTCACAACATAAAATAACTATCTTACATTTAGGCTTCTGTTTCTCTGTGAACAGGACCAGAATATCCAGCAAAGGCAGATCAAAATTATGATGTTATGAAAGGCCCCCAGGCAAGGAAGAAGGCAGAACTCAGTGTGAGTGGAACACCATGGACAGCTATATCCAGGTTGGAATTCGATTCTGCTGAGCACACAGAGTAAATGTGTACAATGATTACCTTGTGATCTGGAGGAGGGATATAGATGATCTTATCTAATCTTCCAGGTCGTAACAAAGCAGCATCTAACACATCAGGTCTATTTGTTGCTGCAACAATCATGATACTTCGGTTAAAAACGTCTTGAAACTCTAAGGGCAAACACACAACACAAAGTAATGTCAATCAGTTGTTAAGTTTTTTAAAATTATAAATCAGAAGATCTATTTGAATTCAAATTGCGATATGCTTTTCTTGGGACCAGAATCCTTACATCCCCTTTCCAGAGGATTTCCCTTTCCAGCATTCAAGAGATCCCAGAAAGAAATCCAAAGAACTACTTTGTGTACATGGCTAAGGAAGTAGCTGAGACATTTCTCCATATGAGAACCTATGAAAAACCTTATCCCAAAGGAGAGAACACCCATCTAGTGACCTGAGAGAACCTGAGCCTCCAATGAATGATTACAACTTAAACAGACTACTTGAAAACACAGATACATATAACCAACAGGTGGAGATGTATGGCTATAGAAAGTCTTGACTCTCATATCTCAAAAGAGGGAGATTTATTCTACTTTTTATTTTTCTTTGAAATAATGACAAATCCTGGACAAAGAAATACCTAAACAGAGAAAGGCTACCATATACTAAGCATTCAATCATTTGTTGAATAATCAGGCAGCTATCCAGTGACATAATCCCTCAAAGTACAAAGTTCCCTATATTTACAAGTATTTTAGCAGATGCTGGGTGAATACCTGTCAGATGTTATAGAAGGAATTCCTGCATTATGAAATGATTTGATTAGATAAGTACCTCTTAATTCTAGTATGACATGTTCCTAAAAAGTGTATACAACAATTCCATGCAAAGATTTTTTTAAATAGGAAATGAATGAGAACAAGAGAGAAATAAAAGGTATAGGGGATAATTTAAAGCTACCAAGATCTATCTGGAGAAGAGACACAGAAAGAGAGGGAGAGAACTTTCCAAAGGCCATTTTAATTCATTAAAACCAAGGAAACCCATTCCTCAAGAAAAGTGGAAATTTTTCATTACTAAGATTATTGGAAATAATAATCTTTGTTTCTCGTTCATTCATTCACTCATTCAGAGATGGGGCCTTGCTATGTTGGCCAGGCTAGTCTCAAACTCCTGGCCTCAAACAATCCTCCTACCTTGGCCTCCCAAAGTGCTGGGATTACAGGCATGTGCTACTGTGCACAGCCTAGATAAAAATTTTTAGAAAGAAATGAATACTGGTTTCTTAGAACATGGAAACAAGAATAAACTCCCTTCTCTATTAGCAGTAAGTAAAATTATATTTCTCATTCTGTTTAAGATCTTTTTTTTTTTTTTTTTTTTTTTTTGAGATGGAGTTTCACTGTTGTTACCCAGACTGGAGTGCAATGGCACGATCTCAGCTCACCGTAACCTCTGCCTTCTGGGTTCAAGCAATTCTCCTACCTCAGCCTCCTGAGTAGCTGGGACTACAGGGGTGCACCACCATGCCCAGCTAATTTTTCTATTTTTAGTAGAGACAGGGTTTCACCTTGTTGACCAGGACGGTCTCAATCTCTTGACCTCGTGATCCACCCGCCTCGGCCTCCCAAAGTGCTGCGATTATAGGCGTGAGCCACTGCACCCGGCCTAAGATAATTTTTTATAAAATGTACCTCACCTTTCCTAGCCAAAGCACAATTTTTATTACTTCTAAAAGTCCAAACAAAGTCAAAATGAAATTATATAAATCGTTCTATGAGATGAATTCAGCATAGGAAAAGCTATAGCACATATGCATTCTATTTAATGTTGGCCTGGATTTTAGGTGCATTCTGGCTAATAAATACCTCTTCATTTTTCAGCTCCTTGTATTTACCCTGTTGACTTGATTTATTTCCTCTTCTCTCTATTGTCTTAAGTCCAACACCATCTAATTCATTCAGGAGAACAGAAAGAACTCGTTCTTGAACATCACATCCTGTCTTGCTGGTTGAGCGAGCTCCCAAAATTGAATCAATTTCATCCAAAAACACAATTGCTGGAGTGCTTGCTCTTGCTTGTCGAAATATCTTTTGTTAGGAAAAAATATTAAAAAGCATTATGTTATACATTAGTTATATGAATGTATGCTCTCTATATAACTATTCATAAAATATTTTTTTAAGACAGAGCCTTGCTCTGACACTCAGTTTGAAGTGCAGTGGTGCAATCTCAGCTTACTGCAACCTCTGCCTCCCAGGCTCAAGCAATTCCTGTGACTCAGCCTTCCGAGTAGCTGATATGACAGGTGTACACCACCATGCGCACCTAATTTTTCTGTATTTTTAGTAGGGATGGGGTTTCACCGTGTTGGCCAGGCTGGTCTTGAACTCCTGGCCTAAAGTGATTCACCCGCCTTGGCCTCCCAAGTGCTGGGATTACAGCTGGGAGCCCTACCACACCTACCCACTATTTATAATTTTTTAAATATATTTTAAAAAGATTCTAAATGTCTAGGAATTGGGAAACGAGTAAACAGAACAAGAAACAATGGAGTATTTGAGTTAAAAATCATATTTTCAAAGAATAATTAATACTATGTAATTTCAAAAGTGGTAGTATTAAGTTTAAAAGGCAGGAGAAAGCTATAGATACATAAAACCTACCCTTGATTTAAAACAGAAAAAAAGGAAATTCACCAGAATGTTAACGGTAGGTAGAAACATTATGAAGGACTTCATATTTACACTTTCCTATATTTTCTAACTTTTCAATAAACATGTATAACATTTTTTAACTGGAAAATACCCAAGTAATATTTTTTAAAAGTAAAGTTTGTCCACAAGACATGAAATAAAAATTCAATAGTAAATTTAAACATATGGGGAAATAAACAAACCTGAGACAAGACTTTTTCTGAATCTCCAACAAATGGTGAAAAGAGATCAGCTCCACTCACTGAAACAAAAGAGCAGTGACAGCTTGTGGCCAGGGCCCTCACCAGAGTGGTTTTAGCACATCCAGGGGGCCCATAGAGAAGAACTCCCTTTGGTTGTGTCAGGCCCATCCTAACAAATTCCTTAGGGAATTTCAGAGGCCACTCAATGCTCTGAAAGTATACAAAAAGAGTTGTTTTAGTATAATAATAAAATGGCAAATCATCTAGAAAATTCACTTGTTCATTCAACAATTCTCAGGCTCCTATTATGAGCTGGAAACGGTCCATACTCCACACTGCAGAGAGCGTATAACTGCGTCAGGTGATAAAAATCCTTCGATGATTTACCATTAGAACTAGAATAAAATCCAAATCTAGACTTCTTACTCACCACAGCTGACAAGGCCTTTTATCATCTATCTATCAAACACCTGGTTTGTTCCCATCTCAGGGCCTTTCCTTGCTTTTCTCGCTGCCCTAATGTTCCCCTGAGATCTTCGTGTGGCTATTCCTCATCACTCAGGTCTCAGCGCAGGTGTCAATTCCTTGGATAGGTCTTTCCTAACCACCTGGTTAAAGCAGAACCCCCTCCTCCTATTCACTCTCTATGCTACTGACCAGCCTTTACTTTTAAAGCACTTGTTCACTATTATTGTTTTTCCATGTTGAAGGGTTGTCATTCTGCTCTGCTAGAATGTAAGTGAAGCTCACCTCAAAATCCCCAGCACCTAGAAGGCCACCTACCCAAAGGAGGCACTCAATAACTGTAAACTGAATAGTTGAATGAGTCCTCATTGCCTTTAAGGTAAATGGTTTTTAGTAATTATCTTAATCATCATTTTACAGATGCAAAAACTAAGGCTTTAAAAAAGTTAAATAATTTGCCCAGGTCTTACTGCTAATGAGGTGGCAGAACCAATTCTAACCCCAGGCAATGTAATCAAGAGCACCAGCAAGAAGCAACCTCCTTCAAAGTGCAGGTAGCAGTCAGAATACAACAGGCCTTGAAAGCTTTAGTCTATACTGAGAAAGCAGTATGGAGAATGGACTGGAAGAAAATGAAACTAGAGGCAGGGAGACCAGTTAGAAGTTTCTTGCAATGATTCAGCCTACAAAAACAGTGAGGCTGTAGTGTCACAAGCAGTGAAGATGATGTGGAAGGGATAGATATTTGAAACCTAAAACAGAATTGTACTTTACATAGGGACAAAGTTCTAATGCTATGCCTTTAGGAGACAGATTTCTGATTTAGGGGATGGGTTATAAATTCTGGCTGTTATTCATTAAGGTAGGGAATCTAGGTGTGAGGGCAGAGCTGACTCGCTTAACTTTGGACATGCTTAGTTTGGCATCCCTGGGGTTATCCAGTAGACAGGCAGTGAAGTAGTTCTGATGATCAGAAGAAATATCTACTCTAGATAATACAGATTTCTGAGTCAACCGTTTTCAGGGGTTGATGCTGTGGACATCAACATCAACATAAAATCACCCACAGCTCCAACACTCAGGGACCCTCTTGAAACACTAACATTTAAAGGCGGGGAGAGGGAGGAAAAAGAAACGCAGGAAAGCTTAATGTTTCAAAGCTAAGGAAACAGAGTGCTTCCACAGGAAGGTGTGGCTAATTTCTCTCATGCATCTTGTGAAGATTAAATGAGACAATGCATAAAAAATATTAGTGCATATTATACATGCTCTTATCCATGGACTCAAATATTCTAGGGTTCACTGGAGACAGAGCTCCTGGCTAAGATGAATAAATCCTTACTTATGTATCAGTCTGTTTTATGTGTAGTTAGAGAAACCTAGTTCATTAAGGCAGGATCACATATAGGTGAATTGGCGAAATCCATTTCTGAAACGAATGCAGAAATTGAGAAGATCTGAAGAGCTGCGTCCCACAGCCTCCACTGTAAAATCCACTATCAGGTAGCCATGTTGTTCATTTCAATCTTGTGCTTTTACTACTCCCTGTACTGCATCCATTTAATGTCTTTTAGATCAGAGATCTAGGCAAATTAAGGCCTTCCACCTATATTTGGTACAGCCCAAACAGAATAGTTTCGACTTTTTAAATGGTTGAAAAAAAATCAAGAGTATTTTCTGACATGTGAAAATTGTGTAATTTCAGTATCCATAAATTTTATCAGAATACAGTTACTCATGTACATATGGTCTACAGCTGCTCTTGTGCTACAATGGCAGAACTGAGTGGTTGTGACAGAGACTATGAATCACAAAGCTTAAAACATTTACTATGTGGCTTACTCTACAGAAAATCTGTTGACCCCTGTGTTTTAGATCAAAAAAAAAAAAATTTTTTTTTTTTTAGACAGTCACCCTCTGTCCCAGGCTAGAGTGCAGTGGTGTGCAACCTCCGCCTCCTGGGTTTAAGTGATTCTTCTGCCTTAGTCTTCCAAGTAGCTGGGATTACAAGCTTGCACTACCACACCCAGCTAATTTTTGTATTTTAGTAGAGATGGGGTTTCACCATGTTGGCCAGGCTGGTCTTGAACTCCTGACCTCATGATCGGTCTGCCTCGGCCTCCGAAAGTGCTGGGATTACAGGCATGAGCCACTGTGCCTAGCCTATAAGTTGGTTTTTTGTTGTTTTTTCAAAGACACAGGATCTTGCTCTTACAAGGCTGCAATACAGTGGTACAATCATGGCTCACTGTAGCCTTGATCTCCTGGGGTCAAGGCTCAAGTGATCCTCTGAGTTGGTAGGACCACAAGCACATGCCACCACACCTAGCTAATTAAAAAAATTTTTTTGTAGGCCAAGCACTGTGGCTCATGCCTGTAAGCACTCCCTGGGGAGTCTTACTATGTTGCCCAGTCTGGTCTTGAACTCTTGACCTCAAGAGAGTCTCCTACCTCAGCCTTCTGAAGTGCTAAGGCTACAGGTTATAAACCATTTTTTTTTTTCAGACAGGGTTTGGCTCTGTCACCCAGGCTGGAGTGCAGTGGCGGGATCTTGACTCACTGCAACCTCCACCTCCCAGGTTCAAGTGATTATCCTGCCTCAGTCTCCTGAGTAGCTAAGATGACAGGCACCTGCCAGCATGCCCAGTTAATTTTTGTGTTTTTTTTTGAGACAGAGTCTTACTCTGTCACCAGGCTGGAGTGCAGTGGCGCAATCTCAGATCACTGCAACCTCCGCCTGGGTTCAGGCAATTCTCCTGCCTCAGCCTCCCGAGTAGCTGGGACCACAGGCACGTGCCACCACACCCAGCTAATTTTTGTATTTTTAGTAGATAGGGGGTTTCACCATGTTGGCCAGGCTGGTCTTGAACTCCCAACCTCAGGTGATCCACCCACCTCGGCCTCCCAAAATGCTGGAATTACAGGTACAAACCACTGAACCTAGCCTTAGGTTATAAACTCTTTTTATTCTTTTAAATAGAGACAAGGGGCTTGTTATGTTGCCCAGGTTGGTTTTGAACTCCTGAACTCAAGCAATCCTCCTCCCTTGGCCTCCCAAAGTGCTGGGATTACAGGCATGAGCCACCACACCCAGCCTTAGGTTATAACCTCTTTAAAGCAAAAACAAAAAGAGGGTTGAGATGGGAAATTATGAAAAAAACAGTTTAGACATCCGGAGGACTTGAATTAAATAAGGACTGAAAAGCAATCATTGGATTTAGATGTTAGGATCACATTAGTGATAGGAGCAAGAGCAGTTTCAGTGCAGTATGTTGTTATCATAAATGCACATAATATTAATCTGTAATATCCTACTGGCTTAAGCAGATTATCTGTTTTACCTGCTGTAACTTCAGTTTTACATCTTCAAGGCCACCAATCTGCTCCCAGTCAACAGGCTTGATATCCATCAATCCAATGACGCTTCGAAATGATGAGGGTTGAATATTTTTAAAAGTTTCAAGGAAGTCTGTTTCATCAATCACAGGACTGTCCTGGTTCTGAAGAAATACACCCAAAAAAGCAAAATTAAACCAAAAACTGGGTTGGTCTTTTTTTATAGCACAATTAATTTTTTTTCATCTTCTTTTGGATTTGTAAAGTTATTCTGTTATTATAAAAACAATTTATACACATAGTACAAAGAATTAAATGTCTCCTGTCAGAATTCATCCCCCAAAGATGTCAACAATTTCTTGTGTATTCTTCCAGTATGTTAAGATAAAAAGCACATATATATATCCTTTTAAACAGACACACAAATGGGACCATACTATACATATCTATCTGTACTTTTCTTCTTTCACCTATCTTAGAGATCTTTTCCTGTCAACTAATATAGTTCTACATCACTCTTTTTGACAATTTCATAATAGACTATCAAATTTACCCCAACTACACCTTTCTGACAAACATTAGGTCATCTCCTGTCTTTTGATATTAACAAGAAAGCTGCAACTGAAAAAGTATTTGTGCTTATGTTCAAGTATTTATTTGTTTATTTTGAGGCAGGTCTCACTCTGTTGCCCAGGCTGGAATGCAGTGAGCTCACTGTAGTCTCCCAGGCTCAAGTAATCTTTGCACTTCACCCTCCAGAGTAGCTGAAACTATTGTGTGTGCCACCATACCTGGCTAATTAAAACAATTCTTTTTTTTGTAGAGACAGGGTCTCCCTATGTTGCCCAGGCTGGTCTGGAACTCTGGGCTTGAGCAATGCTCCCATCTCAGTCTCCCAAAGTGCTGGGATTACAGGCATGAGCCACCATGCTCAAATTCATGTTCAAGTATTTTAAGTAATAATTTCCTCAAAGTAGAATTACTGGGTTTACAAGTACACACATATACAATTTTGACAGCTATTACCAAATTGTCCTCAAAGGAAGCTGCATCAGTTTATTCTCCTTCGATAATACGAGGCTTTGTTCTCTCCACACCTCTTCAATACTGGACTTTACCAAACTCTTTTCTTTTTCTTGGTGGAGTCTCACTCTGTACCCAGGCTGGAGTGCAGTGCAGTGATCTTGGCTCCCGGCAGCCTCCACCTCCTGGGTTCAAGTGATTCTTGTGCCTCAGCCTCCCAAGTAGCTGGGATTTACAGGCATGCAAAACCACACCCAGCTAATTTTTGTCTTTTTAGTAAAGACGGGGTTTCCCCATGTTGGTCAGGCTAGTCTCAAACTCCTGACCTCAAGTAACCCACCCATCTCGGTCTCTCAAAGTGTTGGGATTACAGGCGTGAGCCACCCGGCCCATTACCAAACTCTTAAAATGTCTGCTAATATGACAGGAAGAACTGATACTCATTCATTACTATGTGAACTAAATTTCTTCAGAATGAGGTAGAGGGAATATTGTAATTAGAAAAGTCAGCTTTTTTGCAATCATGATAGTAAAGGCTGTTTTGAGCAAGAACTGGAGGCTACATTGCAGAGAGTAAAAATTTATTTATTTATGAGACAGAGTGTTGCTCTGCTGCCCAGGCTGGAGTGCAGTGGCATTGAGGCAACAGCTCACAGAGCCTCAAATACCTGGGCTCAAGTGATCCTCCTGTCTCAGCCTCCTGAGCAGCTGGGACTATGGGTGTAAGCCACTGTGTCCAACCTGGAAGTCTGATGAGGAGCAGGATATCTCAAAGTATCTCCCCACAGATTTCTTATTACTGGCAAAGGGAAAAATAGCAGTTACACAGTGGAGAAATTACCCACTGCCTGAACTAGTCGATAAAAATTAGCATCACCAGTGAGGAGCCAATGAACGCTCTGTACCTCTACATGTGAGGCTCTAAGGATAAAACACTATACATGACCATAGTGTGGTTACATATGCGAACACTGCTGTTCTTAGGAAATAGACATTAAAATGTTAAGGGACAAAGTGTCATGATACATGCAACCCATTTTCTCCAATGGTCCAAAATAGATAAATACTATCTGCATATAAATACATACACACAGAGATGAGAGAGAGAAAAGAAGAAGAGGGGAGCAAGAAAGAGCAAAAGAGAGTGATAAGGCTGTTTTGGCAAAATGTAAAAAATTGGTGAATTTGGATGAAGGGTTTAGTGGAAGTTCTTTGTAACTATCTTGCAACTATCCTATTAGTTTTAAATTATTTCAAAATAAAGACAATTTTAAAAGAAATCAAGATTGAAGATTTTTCATGTTTACTGGCATTCCTTTTTTTATCAACTACCTATTCATATCCTAATACCCATTTTCTCTTGGACTATGGTCTTTTCTTAATGATTTGTAGAAGTTCCTTCCATTACCAAAGAAATTGGACTAAAAGTATTTTTCCTAGTCTGACTTTATAGTATTGTTTTGCCATCCCCAAATGGTCAAATCAGCAAATAATTTACTTTTTGGTTATTGGGGTTATATTATGCCTAGAAAAGTCGTCTTCATTCTCAGGTTATATTTGGAAACTCTTTACACTCTCCTTGATCATTCTAGTGAAGCACATAAAGTCCTGACAGTTTCATTAAAAATATCTGTACTGTATTTATTAACGTATTTGCCCTCTTATATCCAATTCTAAATATTTAGTTGTCCACAAATTCCCATTTTCAAAAACAAACTATCTTCTCTTATTTTTGTAAACTGATGTAAGTAAATCTTATGTATAGAGCTATTCTGTATAGTATTCTCCCAGAAGTGTTCACAATTGTCATTTCTGGGAAGTGAGATTTCAAGCAGGCAGGTCTTTATAATTTTCTATCTTAATTTCTCATGAATAACACTATTATATAGTTTTAAAAAACAGCCTTTTTAACTGGCTGACAGTATTAGATATTAGGTATCTGATGTCCAAATACAAACTAATTTTTAGGTAACACCAACTAATATTTGAAAATCTCATTTATAGTTCAAGATCATGTGTGTACAATTATTTTACTTGATTCTTTGGGCAAATACATTCTCTCCCCTCTGTGTATGTTTTAGTGTTTGAGAAACTACATTTTTTTTTTTTTTGAGATGGAGTCTCATTGTGTCGCCCAGGCTAGAGTGCAACAGCACGATCTTGGCTCACTGTAATCTCTGCCTCCCAAGTTCAAGCGATTTTCCTGCCTCAGCCTCCTGAGTAGCTGGGATTACAGGCGTGCATCACCTCGCCTGGCTAATTTTTGTATCTTTAGTAGAGACGGGATTTCACCATGTTGGCCAGGCTGGTCTTGAACTCCTAATCTCATGATTCACCCACCTAGGCCTCCCAAAGTGCTGGGATTATAGGCGTGAGCCACTGCACCCAGCCGAGAAACTACGTCTCTAATCCTTTATACTTCACAAAAAGTTTAACAAACTGTAAGGTATCCCTTATCTGTATTGGCACAGATAGAGATAGCGGCAGCCCCTCAGCTGGTAGGGGAAAGAATAAAAAATGGAGCCGGTACCTTCCCAGATGTCTCTGTCCCTTCATCCTTTCTGCCTTTCTTTCTTCCACTTCCCCTGGATTGTTTATGAACTCAGCCATCACCTGTGGCAACTACACCTGAGCAGGCCCCTCCTGAAGTAGCAGTGGGCTCCACCCTGGGATGACAGCAGCTGACTGGTCCACCTAAGTCAGAGGTGCTTATGATCAAACCTGGAACTGCAAAGCAGAGGAAATCCTAAATGTAAATCTCTCTTCCCATCTCCTGGTACTCTTATTGTCTCCCTCAAATGCCATGTATTCTCAGACCTTCACACACAGAACTTTAAAACTTCAAGCAGTTTTGATCTACACCTACAAGATTAAGACTTAAAAGATCACTAGAAGATCACATAACTCTTTCTCACCTTTGGTGTAAATGTAGAAATAAAGGAAGTGAGGAAAAGTATACATTATTTAGGTAAAAAGGTTTTTCAAAATTTAGGATAATAAATCATTCTTTTGCAGTTTTCGATGAAAAGACAATTTGGATGTTACAACTGAGATTGAAAATTCTGTTTCAGAATCCTCAGTCTGCTGAAATCAGTTTTTTTTTTTCCCCCCTGAAGGGGTTTAAGGATTCAGGACTATTTATTATATACAAATACTGGATTTTCCAACCAACAGTGTTGAAAAATGTTACGTTTAATCTAATATCTTCAATATTGTTAGGAAAGGTAGTCATGAATTACAGACATGCAGGTCAAGGACAAGTTTAAATACAATTCCAGGTGCCCAATATTCTCCTAGGTTAGAAAAGCTTATTTCTCCCAATACTTATTAATAACAAAGGAAAAAAACTGTATTTTGACAATGGAGAAATCTCACAGACACCACCTTATCCAAGAAATAAAAGTTAACTTCACCAGTGATAGAACAGAAACATATCATGCGCTTCCTAACAGATGCAATGAGAAAGACACAGGATCATTTCTATTATATTCCTACCCAAAATGCAAAACCTGAATTGAATCATGAAGAAACGTTAGTCAAACCCAAACTGAGTAATATTCTACAGAACAACTGACTCTTAAAAAGTTAGGGTCATAAAAGAAAGACTGAATTGAACTATGATTCTAGATTAAGGCCTATTTAGGTTAAGTGCTGTGTCTGTGTTCATTTCCTTAGCTTGATCATTGTACTAAAGTCCTTGTTTTTCAGAAATATACACTTATGTTTTCGAGGGTAAAGGGGCATCATGGCTGCAGTATATTCTCAAATATTTCATTATATAAATGTAAATGTGTATACATACACACACAGACACACACACACACACACACACACACATATATATATAAGTAAATTCACATGAAGAGAGAATGATAAAGCAAATGTGGCAAATGTTTCATTTCGAGAATCTGGGAGAAGGGATAGGGAAATTCTTTGCACTATTTTTGTAATTTCTAAGTCTGAAATTGCCTCAAAATAAAAAAATTATTTGATTCTTCTGGGGCCACACTATTTCTTGGCTGCTCTGGGCTTAAGCACTAGGAGTTACTGCAAGAGTGGGGAACAGATTTACTCAGTAGACCTAGAGGACTCAGCCCTTTATTCCCACCCTCAATCATATACTATTTATATAGTGTTGAGATGTAAAATACATAAGCAACAGCTGTGGAAGCTATCAAATATTCTAAGAAAATGTACTTACCACTTTTGTTTAACCCCCAAATTAATCTATTACATTAATAGAAAGATTAACATCGATGTTCATACATTAAAATACTTCTTACCTTCTCACTATGAATGAGGGCATGCATGGCAGCCTCCCTACAGAGTGCTGTCAGATCAGCACCAACATAGCCAACTGTCATTTCTGCAAGAAGGCCCAAATCAACATGACTGGAAATGGGCATCCTTGAGGTAATCACTTGCAGAATTTCCTTTCTTTGTTTAAGTGTGGGAGTCCCAATGACCACCTATATGTAAATAAAAAAAGAAGTTTATTGTTTAAAATATATTATTTTTAAAGCTGATTTCATGGTGGCAGAGAGCAGAATGACAGCCAGCAGAGACTGGGAAGGGTTGGGGGTGACAGGATAAAAAGAGTACATGGGCTCATGGGTACAAACATACAGTTAGATAGAAGGAATAAGTGTAATGTTTGATGGCATAGTAGGGTGACTACAGATAACAATAATTTCTTATATATTTCAAAATAGCTACTAGAGAAAATTTGAAATATTCCCAACACTCAGATAAGAAATAACTGTTTGACGTGATGGATATCCTAACCACCCTGATTCGATAATTACACATTGTATGCATGTACCAAAATATCACATGTACCCCAAAACATGCACAATTATGTATCAATAAAAATAGATCAATTAAAAAAGAATCACTGGCCGGGCACGGTGGCTCAAGCCTGTAATCCCAGCACTTTGGGAGGCCGAGGCGGGTGGATCACGAGGTCAAAAAGATCGAGACCGTCCTGGTCAACATGGTGAAACCCCGTCTCTACTAAAAATTACAAAACATTAGCTGGGCACAGTGGCGCGTGCCTGTAATCCCAGCTACTCAGGAGGCTGAGGCAGGCGAACTGCCTGAACCCAGGGGGCGGAGGTTGCGGTGAGCCGAGATTGCGCCATTGCACTCCAGCCTGGGTAGCAAGGGCGAAACTCCGTCTCAAAAAAAAAAAAGAATCACTTCCAAAAAACTAATTATATGTGTGTGTGTATGTGCATATATATATATATATATATATATATATATATATATATATATATATATTTTTTTTTTTTTTTTTGAGACACAGTTTCACTGTTGCCCAGGCTGGAATGCAGCAGGGACCATCTCAGCTCACTGCAACCTCCACCTCCCTGGTTCAAGTGATTCTGGTCTGGTGTCTCAGCCTCCTGAGTAGATGGAACTACAGGGGCACACCACCATGCCCAGCTTATTTTTGTATTTTTAGTAGAGACGGGTTTTCACCATCTTGGCCAGGCTGGTCTCAAACTCCTGACCTAAAGTGATCCACCCACCTCAGCCTTCCAAAGTGCTAGGATTACAGGCGTGAGCTACTGCGTCCCACCAAAATAATATACATTTTTTATCCTGACAAACATGTATGTTAATTCAGTGAACCATTTTGGAATTAGTATTATGCACTTTCCATATACTTTTGCTTCTGAATATATGAAAATCCTAATATTACAAAGGAGTAACACTGGCTAGAAAGTTGCACAATGAAAATTCTATCTATGTCATTTAACAAGTTTTTTTTTTTTTTTTTTAAAAACAGAATCTTGCTCTGTTGCCAGGCGCCGGTGCCGGTGCAGGTGCAGTGGCCCAATCTCAGCTCACTGCAACCTCCGCCTCCAAGCTCAAGCAATTCTCCTGCCTCAGCTTCCCGAGTAGCTAGGACTACAGGCAGGAACCACCACTCCCAGCTAATTTTTGTATTTTTTAGTAGAGACGGGGTTTCACCATTGGCCTGGATGATCTCAATCTCTTGACTTCATGATCCACCCTCCTCGGCCTCCCAAAATGCTGGGATTACAGGCTTGAGCCACCGCGCCCGGCCTAGTTTTTGTTATTTTCAAGAACATACAAAGTTCTAGAAGCCAGGTTTAGACAGCTAGGTCCCTGCCCTTAAGGACACAGGTATGAGATAGCGCAAGGAAGAAATCCACTCAAGTCCTGAACTGACTAAGCTAAAAGTGTGCAATTACCATTTCTCTTTAGAATCTTATCACAAAATAGAAATATCAGTCACTAAATTTCAAACTATTCTTTAGAATTCAAAAGTCCACTTAGAACCAAAGCTTATAAAACAGGACAGTTCTGAATATTCAACTCCTGACAACTCAGGGAGCAGTTGTGGGTACTTCCTCAATTATGGGATAGGATGCTGGTATTATGACAAGGAATGAATAAATCCAGAAGAGTAATGCCTGCTTCCATTTAGTTCTTCCCTGCCTTCGCCCTTTTTATTTCAACACACTTACTTTTTGAGGCTATCCTTCTACTTTAAATTCTCATTCCAAATCTATGAGTTTAACATGCTTGGGGGCGACCAAAATTCTCTTAAGAATTAACATTACTTCCATAGAGAACAAGTATCCCCCAGAATGAAAAAAAAAAAAAAGAATTAACATTACTGATTATAGGACCTGCACAACAAAATTAATCTGTAACGTCCCCCCCCCCCAACCACTTCCCAGAACAATTTGACTCTCGGTAAATACAGGTCCTGACTCACAGAAAACGTGTTCTCTGCATTGCTAAGAGTCCCACTCCAACCTCACCGATGCCCAAACCTAAGAGGCAAATGCCTCAGGGGCAGCCAACTAGCGCCAGAAGAGGCCGAGGTCCCACGGACAGTGGGCCAACCAGCCAGGCCCATTTACCTCGCGGTCAAATCTCCCAGGTCTGCGCAGCGCTGGGTCTAGAGCGTCCGGCCGGTTGGTAGCTCCCACAACCACGACCTCGCGGTCCCCACTGGCGCCGTCCAGCAGCGTCAACACCTGGGCCACTACGCGGCTCTCCGGTGCTTGACCGCCCCGCCGGGGACACAAGGCGTCCACCTCGTCCAGGAAGAGGAGGCTGGGCCCGCGACTGGCCAGCTCCCGGGCGCGCTGGAAGACCCGCCGCACGTTCTCCTCTGTCTCCCCAGGCCGGGAACCCTGAAGCGCGGGGGCGCTGACTGCCAGCAGCTCCGCGCCCGCCTCGTGTGCCACGGCCCGTACCAGCTGGGTCTTGCCCACTCCGGGGGGCCCCGCCAGGAGCACTCCGCGGGGCACTGCTAAGCCCAGCGCCGCCAGGGTGCGGGGGTAGCGGAGCGGCAGGCGGAGGAGCTCCCGGAGCGAGTCGGCAGCCTCCGAAAGGCCCCCCAGGGGCACCTCGGACCGCGGCCGGGATTCAGATGGAGGCTCCCTGCTGAAGCCGACGCGTGTACGAGGCGTAACCAGCCCAGCGGGGTCGGGGCTGGGCGTCCCGCCGACGATGTGCAAGGCAGCCACCGGGCCCGGAGCGCCCGGTGGAGCGACCACCACGTGGCCCAGGGAAACCGGTCGGTTTCTCAGCAGCTCCTGCGCCGCCTCCAGCACCGCAGCTGTACTCGGGGCACCAGGCGCGCCTGCCCGCTCTCGCAACACCGGCCACACCGCGACGCGCCGCAGGGGCGGACAGGGCACTAGGAGAAGGTGGCTCAGGCTGAGACTCCTCCGTGATCTCGGCGCCCCGACCACCACCCCGGGGCTTGCGCACAGCGGGTCCAGCTGCACAAAGCAGTCGGCTCCGTCCCGCCGAGGCCAGGCAGTGCAGATGCAGGAGCCGCCGTCGGGCAAGGAGATCTTCACTGCAGAGCCCAAACGCGCGCCCAGGGCGTGGAAGGCGGCCGGGCCCAGGCGGCAGCGCTGGGTGCCCCGATCTCTATCGTCTAAGGGTAGCACCTTTAAGAGCGGCCCTTCGCGGAAGGGATCCGAATCCCGAGCCATTGCACCACAGATGAGCCAAGGAGAGAAAAGCCGGACAGAAAACCCCGGCCGGCAAAGAGCGGAACACCGCGCTCGCAGGCCGGAAGTAGGTGACGCACATGCGCTGGGCCCGATTGCGTAGTTGGCTGCTGAGTGAAGGCCCAACGGGCCAATGGGAACGTTAGACGACGCTCTGGCCCTTGGGTAAAATTTTTGTGTCCACTTTCGTGAAATCGAGTTTCCCACCCCAGAACTTTGCCGAGATGGTCTTCATTATAGGTGTCTGGGAGGCGGCGTAAGCTAACTTCACTAGTACACCAAAGCATGTACTTTGGTGGTACATATATCTTGGAAGTCACCGGCGTTACATTCTGTTTTCCTGGCCTCGGAACTGGAGCATCAGTACTGCCGCTGTTGGAATAGCAACCTAGAGATTTTGCTATTTTGTGAAGAAACTCCAACTATCCCTATGGGCACAGAATTTTGGGTGCTCTGGTGCAGATGTCACAGGGGACTTGGAGTAGCTGAGAATACAGCTTTGGGACCTTCGATAACCGGGGTTCCAATCTGGCAGGTCCAGGCACAGCCCTTCCTATGGAACAGCACCAGTATAGTGAGAAGAAGAAGCACAGTGTGGCACTTCAAACCCCTTGTAGAGAGGAAAGAAGGAAAACTAAGCTATCTGATGGATTTGTAGCACACTAATAGTACATTTGTTCTGATTTCTGATATTCTTTTGAATATTATTTGGCAACAACTTAATCACTGCTTAAGTTCATGCAATCAATGCTTGCCGTCTAATTGGGGCACAACAGCACTAAGTCCTGTATTAGAGGCGATGCCTATCTACATTATTAAGACAACTGCCTGCTATTTTTTTTTCCCACCTGCCTCTGCCTTTTCTCTCTCTTTCGCACAGGGAATTCCTCTTTATCAATTGGAATACATTTCTTATCCCTCTTAATTCCTATTAAAAAAGAACTACAGATATTCAAAGACAAGAAGATATACCTTGTCTTTATTTGACTTACATCTTCCTACCTCAATTTTCCCACGTTCACTGCAACCCAAATTTGTAAGATGACAAAACTGATATTTTAGAGTGCTTACGTTGCTGGGAAGTTTTTTTTTCTCTAGCTATGCAAAATATCAATACAGACTGTGTAGTGATATCTTATCAATGGCAAGTACTGTCAGATCTGGCATCCTAAGACCAATGCCAATTCCTGATCTCATTCTATCCAAACTTCATGGCAGACATGACAGACTTCTTGACTCCACAGTAACTTGTCTGGTCTCTGCTGTACTTTTCTACTAAAATGGATTCTGGCATAACTTAGGGATCAGAAAATAGCAGGAGGAGGTCTTGAAATGGGTAAGTCACCCATTACTTCCTGTTTTCTTTTTGTCTTTTAATCCTACTGGCTTTGGGTCTTTTTGGTTTTGCGACTTTTAAATGCGACTTTTGCATTTTCTGAAAATTTTTTTTAAAAAGCCATCGTTTTTACTGACCCCTAAAGGTGTGAATACATGCCGATCAAATTATTTTATCAAATGCCTGCACCTCATGGAGTTCCTTCTATTCAGTTCCAAGAAGTTTTGAGGATCTAGGAGAGGGAAAGAAGACTTACTGAGGACATGATAATTGTCTTAAATATGTAAAGGGATGTCATGTAAAATAGTTAGTAGATATATTTACTGTACAGAAATGGCCAAGAAGTAAAGGTTTCATGGAGTGGCATAACTGAAGCCAACATAGGGAGCCAATGAAGTTAAATGGGCCTTAAAGTTTTCTGCATTGGTTTAAACTGAGGCAGAGACTATGTTATTAGGAATATGATGAGGAGGAAACTATGTGTTCCTTTGGGTTGGTCTAAGAGATTGATTTTATACAAGGTCAAATAAGAACCCTCTGACCTTATAGAATCCATATGCATGGGAAATATTCTTTCACTTCATCTCACTCTTTCCCTGAATGATCCAGTCCTTACCATAGGTTGCAAACAAAAGCAAAAAGGAATTCTGTTACTGGGCCTTCAGCTCTTATCCACTCACTCTGAGCAAAACTATAAGTATTTTTTCCAATCAGCCAGTAAAATCCATTTCGTTTCTTTAGGTCTAACCATCTGCGACACTATGATTTCAGTCATCTAAACATCCACATTTATCATACCATTGAATGACATAATCTCCTTGTGGTAAACCATTCTTTTTATTTTTTAAATTTTATTTATTTATTTTGAGACAGTCTCGATCTGTCACCCAGTCTGGAGTGCAATGGCAGGGTCTCAGCTTACTGCAACCTCTGCCTCCCAGGTAAAAGCAGTCCTTTTGCCTCAGCCTCCCGAGTAGCTGGGATTACAGGTACCTACCACCATGCCTGGCTAATTTTTGGATTTTTAGTGGAGATGGGGTTTGACCATGTTGGCCAGGCTGGTCTTGAACTCCAGGCCTCAAGTCATCCACCCACCTCGGTCTCCCAAAAGTGCTAGGATTATAGGCATGAGCCACCACAACTGGCCTCCTTGTGGTAAACTATTCTAATGGGAGTGGTGTGGCTCTTTTGCTTATTTGTTTTTAATCTGACCTGAAATGTGTTATTTCTAAAATTGAAGGCATCAAGTAAAGCACCAGAATTGAACCACTAGAGGGAGTCCAAAACCAACTAAGCCTGAAGGCTCCAGGATTATTGGGACATTGAAGTGTGTTCTCAACTATGGTTTCCATTAGATTTTCCCAGGTTTCACACATAGGTCTATGAAGCCATCTGTTGTCTCTATAACTAGCTGCCTTAGTCTTTTGGGCTGCTGTAACAAAATATCATGAACCAGGTAGCTTATAAATAACAGCAATTTATTTCTTACGGTTCTGGAGGCTGGGAAGTCAAAGACAAGGCACTGGCAGATTCCATGTCTGGTAAGGGCCCACTTTCTAGTTTAGAGACAGCTCACTGTATCCTCACATGTTGGAAGGGACTGGCTAGCTCTCTCATGTTTCTTTTATAAGGGCATTAATCCCATTCATGAGAGCTCCACTCTCATGACCTAATTACCTCCCAAAAGGCCCTGACTCCTATTACCATCATCTCAATGGTTAAAATTTCAACAAATGAATTTTGTGGAGGATACAAACATTGAGACCTTAGCAGTAACTGACTTATTTTCACAGACCTCAAGGCATGTAGAACTTAGTTTCTAAGTAAAAATTTAATTTCTGTGTTGAATATAAAACTGAGACCGTTCTTAAATCCAAAATTTAGTGGTAGGTCAAAATCCAAACCAATAGAATTCATCTTGCTACAGCCTAGAAACAGTTCTAGCTTTGAATTCTTTCAAATAGCTTTGCCAAACAAAGTCTTTTGTGAGATTTTCCCAGAGAGATACATGTAACAAAGTTTTTCTTTATGTCATTTGCTACATTCAAGGTTACGATCTGTATAATTTTTAATTAACTATATGCATTATTAATTAGCTGTAAGTCTGTAATTCAAAAGAAATAATTGGAACCTGTTTCTTTTTTAGGATAATGATCATACATTATTTTTGTCCCTTCAGCATATTACATATGTATATAAAAATATATTCCTGTACATGAAAAAAAAATCTAAAGAAAATCGTTAAACCAGTAGCATGAGTCATCTGTAGATTAAGGACTTATTTCCACAGATACCTAATATGCTAAACCTATGTTCTTATCTTAAAGTACACAATGAAAATCCCCCTAAATAGGACATTGTTAAAATTGTTTTTTAGAATCTTCCATCTTTACTATTTATCTTGTATACAGATTAGAATTAGAGGAAGTCTAAATATAGAATAAGTTATAGAATCAGAAGGAGGATGAAAATGTTTGCTGGATTACAAATGACCTGCAGACAATAAGTCATAGAACATCATTCTGAAAGTCTGTTCTTCCACATTTTCAGGAAATTGCTTGTTTCATCATTTTTTAAAGTAATTTTTAAGATAGCTTTTCCCTATGATGTTGATTCATGCTGTTCAACTTACAAATATAATAATTACATATTTATTAAAACAAATATTTATTGAACATCTACTTCTTGCTGATTACTTTACCAGAAGCTGAGTATTTGGTGGCAAACAACAATAAAACTAAATACACTGTAATCCTTGCCTTCCTGAAGGTTATAGCCGACTGGGAGGTCAAACATTAAAGAAGTAAACAAGTTAATAAATCTGATAATTAAAGGTGATGCAAATTGCTTTCAAAGAAATAAACAGGAAAAGGCTACTTTAAACAGGTATTAAGGATAGGAAAAACAAAACAAAACAAATTATTTTTCCTACTCTCATATACCACTGAGCCACTCAACAGAACACTTCTGACATCAGATGTTGTGGGGGAGGTTCCTCACATATCAAGCAAATTCTCTCACAGACACCACCTGGGTGTCCTCTAATTCAATTCAATGCTGACACTGTCTACCTAGAAACAGCATCAGATTCTGCAGGGACTGCCCAGTCCCTTAAGTCTGTCCCCTACTTCAGATAACAATCATAAGTCCCAGGTTGTGACCTATGCTTCTGATCAGGGATGGACTGTAAATTGGGCTTCCCATGACCCCCTTCTTAGGTTATATTAATTTGCTAGGACAGCTCATGGAACTCAGGAAAACATTACTTACATTTACTGGCTTACTAATAAAGGATATAATAAAAGATACAGATAAACAGTCAGGGGATACAAAGGGTGAGATCTGGAAGGGTCCTGAGTACAGGAGCTTCTGTCTCCATGAAGTTGGGGTATACCACACTCCAGGCACATGAATGTGTATTTGCCAACCTGGAAGCTCTCTGAACCCCATAGTTAAGGGATATTTATGGGGCCTTCATCATGTAGGCATGATCAATTATTAACCCAATTTCCAGCCTCTTTCCCCTCTGGAGAATAGAGGTAGGGGCTGAAAGCTCCAAGTTTATAATCATGGTTGGTCTTTCCGACGACCAGACCTCATCTAGGAGCCAGGCAAGAATTGCCTCAGTAAATAAAAGACTGCTCCTATCACTCAGGAAAGTCTAAGGGATTTGGGAGCTCCATGTCAGGAATGAGAGCAAAGACCAAACATTAGAACCAAAGATTCTCCTAGCACCCCTGTAACAG